ACTTTGAAAACATCAATTTATTGAAAAATTTTTTTGAACAGTATGTTTTTAACAGTTGATTACCCTGAACTTTAAGTATAATTCAACTGAAAAACCAATACAAAAAATAATAGTAAAAAATAATAACAACAAATAAATCGTTTTATTTCGATTATGTTGTTTTCATAATCGGTGCAAGCCAAAATCGTAATTGCGATTAAAATACGATTAATTAAGCAGCCCTAGCTTATGGCTAGCGCTCCAACACATTGCACTTTATGGGCTAAAGGGCGGGAAATCTCTAATGCGGCTTTCACACCAGCGCTTTTCCCGCTCTAGCTCCGTGCTAGAGCTTTTCTGGTTCAGCTCCGGTTTCCCTTTTCTGAAAACGCGTTGGTGTGAAAGGGGCATGAGTGGTTGACCAACCACAACAGAGCCAGCCAGCTAACCAATCAGAGCAGACTGGCTTCAGACAGAGGGTGAAAAGAGGTGCTGCAGCTCAGGCAGTATGAGAAAAATAAAGAGCTTTTTGAACGTTAAAGCATGCAGACATGTCACAGTAGAGACACAAAATACAAATATGAAACCTGAAAATGAGAATAATAGGGCCCCTTTAAATAAAAGGATTACATCCTCAACATAAGTTAAGTAGTGTTGGAGATTAAAAGGGATAACTGGTCCGCTTTTCAAATCTCCGCGCGTTCCTATGAAGCTGGTTATAATACAGGAAGGAATCCATATCTACAAAGTAACCGTTAACAATAATCTACTTTAATGGCAATATGACAATGCAATACAATCATTACAATGCAACATGATATATTACAGTTATATTGTAATGCTTAAGGAGTAATGCCGGCTTACTCCTGCCCTGGTTCGCGTGCTGCGGAGATCCTTCCGCTCGGGCAGCATGTGAAGAAGAGGCCGAACGCCAGGGATCCACCGGAGATATACCAGAGCAAGAAGGAGGGGTTAGGGTTTAGGTCAGCTGGTCATCTTTTCAGGTCATCTCATTGGGAGACGCAACGCTGGCCAGCAGGAAACCAAACAGGCTCACCTTACAACAAAAGGTCTCAAGGCCTGCATACCTACACCTCCCCCACAGAGCAATAAAACCCTGTTTACTCCAACCAGCCCAGAATGTTTATAGCCATTTGTAGTCCTTACATTTATGAAAGGATAAAACAGAGAAATCAATATAAAACACAAACACAGGTATTGTTTGAACAGTATTCACTTAACTGCTACTATTGATAAGCACCAGAGAAACCCAAGAGACCTCTCTTAACATCACAAACCACTGTAGCTCGTTCTAAGTTGAATGCAAATCAGGACATGCTCTCACCTTCCCCCATCTTCCTTTGTCCTCAAAAACACATGTCAACAGGCCCCAAATGCAGCTCACAGTTTTACCCAAATTATTCCCATTTTAAGCTTATCCATAGTTTGCTAACATGAATAAATACAAATATAACTCTACAGTAGCCACAAGGAAGTTTACACGATTCATTGCACTCCACCATGAGTAAACAATTAAACATGCACAAAAAATGTATGATGCATATAGTGTGTTTAATGTTTTTAGAATCATAAAATAGCAATAGGTTTGTGCCTGAAATACTACAGTTAATCTGTTTGTAAAAGGAACACAATGCTTGAACTGAGCTGCTGTTTTTTTGTTATTTCAGTGAGATGTGGGTTTCCTCCTGTTGCTCTTAATGGTGATTTGAGGATGTGATGGGAGGGAGGAGTGTTAGCTAAATGCCTTACATGTTTCAGTAAATAAAGCAAACACACAGTCTTTGTGCTGCTGGTTTGGCTGGTGAAAACATTGAGAGTATATCGTGTTGTTACACAGGTCAGGAGATTACAATCAGCTGATAAAAACAATCTGCTTCTTGGTAAAAACACAAGAGGAGACTTAAAGAAAGAAAAGCTCAGTGTCTTAAAATGTGCGGATGGAAGTCTGACTTCTGGTTAACCTCATAACAGTTGTGGGAAAAGTACTCAGATTCTTTACTGAACAAATGTAGAAATACAATAATCTGCATTTATTACAAGCTTGATCCTGAATGCACGATGTCTGTTTCAGTGCAGTGTTCAGTATTTTCTTCCACCACTTGAATAATGTGCAGAAATCGTATTATCTGTGCTTTGGTGCATGCATTAGACAGAGCTGACCTGTAGGTGGCAGTGTCTCACAATACTTTTACTCTCATAGTTCCAGCTCATGACTTTGACATTTCTTTTGTGCATTTGAGAGAAACCGTTTTTTAGATTTGTCCCCCCATTTGTGTATTTCACTGGCTTATTTAATAAAACGTTGGGATTTAAAAAGAAATGTGCTGAATTATTATTATTTAAGTTTAATTTAATTTGAAGTAAAAAATGAGAATAGAAAAACTATAGTAGTAATTATACAAATTATTAACATTGTTAACCTTATTTTCTTTTCTTTAAAGCAATTTTTTCACTACCATAGTTGAAATGTATGATAATTGTAAACTTTATACAACCTTAATTGCAGCTGAAGTTCAATGATGCTCAAAGCAAAGCAGAGGAAAACGGCTGCCCTTAAAGGTGGAAAAACACGGACAGATTAACCAGGAATAACCATTAAGACTCTCGTTAAGAAAAATGGTGGAGGTGATTAGAACATAATGAGCACATTATTGATCAGGAGCAGGAAGTATTCAGTGATTAGAAGAGAGAGCACGTCTGTAAAAAAACACATAGTGTACACCTTTTTATTAAACCATGTATGCTTCATGTATGAATTTACATTTATCTCATCAACCTTTTTTGGTGTTTTTCTGTTGTTGTCATGCACTTGAACTTCTCCACATTCCTTATTGCCTCACCTTCAGGATTTCATTATTTATTTTCCAGCTCATAAAAACTAACCTTCAAAGTTCTGCAGCACTTAGTGGTTTGGGGTGGATGAACAAAAGACACACGAGGGGTTTATTCAAACAATATTGGGACGTTTTTAGTAATTATTCATTCGAACGGTGCATAAAAGAGTCACTGTAGATGATTTATAGTTTAAAGGCAGGTTACTTATTCTCTGTGACACATTTCAAAGAGAAAAGTTAAGCTAGTATTTTAAAGTGTGTGTATGAGGGTGGGTGTCTGAATACCTCTCTGGTATGTCAATATGAGTCACCATCCGTTCTGGCTCTGCCTGTTTCCAAAAACAACATGTATTCAGTATGTGCAGGTTTGTGTCATGAACTCCTGATTTATTTGTGTTTCTTCTCATCCACGGAAGAATCACATTTGAATTTTCTCAATTGACCATATTAACCCAAACATATATAATACAGGGCTCTTGAAAAACATTTGATTACTTGATTATTTTTGTTATATTTAATTATAATTCAACAGAGAGAGTAGGGGTATGTATCAGTCTATGGTATGTATACTAGACGTTCAGTGTTTCACCATCAATTTTAATTAGTCAAAAAAATAAGAAAGAAATAAGTGTGAGTTATTTTTTATACAAAAATATGAAACACTTTTTCCAGTTTCAGCTTGTTGGATGTGAGGGTGTGCTGCCCTCTTCGGTCTGTTTCTTGATTTGTAGTTTAGTCTGGTCCTTAAGAAAATATGAATCATGCTTGTTCCTTGATTCATGTCTTCATATTTATTGTTTTGTTTGACAATCAGATGAAAACACCCAAATATTCACCTTTGCTGTCAGAAAAGACTAATAATAGCTTTGAATCCTCGCATTTTAGTCGCTACAGTTTTTGTTGCCTGAAAAATTAGTTTTTTAGAAGTTTCCCTTTAACACAGACAGATGCTTCAAACAGGAAGTCCCCCCCTTCCTCCTCTCTCATTGGCTCCTGAAGCTGCTCCAGCCAATCAGGTCTCCTCCTTTCTTCTTTGTCCCGCCCTTGCTGAATCTTCCCCTCCTCGGACTGTGTTTCTGCTGCACTCCTCAGTGAGACTCCCTGCCTGTCTGCTGGTCTCTGGAATAGTGTGTGTGTGTGTGTGTCTGTGGATGTGTGTGTGAGAGTGCAGTTGCACAGTGTGTGTGAGGAGAGTCAGATTGTCAAGATGGAGATGGGCTTTACTCAGCCTCCGCGGGCTCAGGTCAGTGGATGCCTTCACTGTGTGTGTGTGTGTGTGTGTGTGTGTGTGTGTGTGTGTGTGTGTGTGTGTGTGTGTGTGTGTGTGTGTGTGGTGTGTGTGTGTGTGTGTGTGTGTGTGTGTGTGTGTGTGTGTGTGTGTGTGTGTGTGTGTGTGTGTGTGTGTGTGTGTGTGTGTGTGTGTGTGTGTTGTGTGTGTGTGTGTGTTGTGTGTATGCGTAAAAAAAAAAGTAAATTCATGCTCCTCCTATTATATAATAGTGTGTTTCAGCCTATTGGTGGGTTCAGGATGGCTTTTTGCGTTAGTGTGGGTTTTGGGTCCAAAATGTTGCTATTAAGGCCTTAATTGGTAATAAAATACAGAAATCAATCTTTCAAAGTTTGAAAAATGATAAGATGTGGAAAATAAGATCTTATGAATCATTTTGTTTCTTTGAATGTACTCTTATATCTCAAAGAAATTGATAACATCATTATTTTTGTTATGATGATGGACCGAAAATTGGTCTAAAATGTTATCCTATATGGCATTCAAAATGTCTTAAATTAATCTGTTAGAACCCTTTTTCATTTAGAATTATGTACTTATAAATATAAAAAAACAATAAATGGCATTACAGGTTACAGAAACCCAATCTTGAGTCTTCAAATAAAAAAGATTTTAAGAGTCCAAGCTATCACAGTCAGATTTTTCAAATATCTTTCCCACTAACAAAACATTTTTGATCGAACTTAAAAAAAACGTCAGACTTTAATCCGTAATTATTTGTTTAATCTCAACATTCTCTGTGTTAAATGTACAAGACCCATTGATTCCTGTTGCTCTGTCTGGGCAATTTTCATAATGCAACATTTTGTAAAATGCACTGTATGGATAACATTGACTTGGATCGACTGTTTTATCAAAAATATAGAAAATAACAAAAAAAGCCATCACAAGTTGTCAGAGCCAAATTTGACATCTTCAATACGGCTTATTATGATTTCATAGTAAATAAAAAAAAACATTAACCAGTTTGTCATTTTTTCTTCTGGTGTTTTAAATGTTTAAAAAATGGTGGTAAGTGTTGCCAAAATGCTCCACAGATACATTGTAGAAGTTCTTTAGTTGAGAAACGTAATAATTGTTGAGACTTTTGTCTTTTAGATATGGCTTTGATTGTTTTCAATTCAAAAGATTTGTTCTTATTGTATTGGTCTTTGTTTCTGGTTCATCACTTGTATTTATTACCTACATGTAGTTATTGGGTGTGTTAAGGCTCACACACCATGTTTATTATTGATAATCTCTTCTTCATCATACAGTATTGTTATAAATCTTACATACTTTCTCTGCAGTGTCACCTCTGACGCATTACTCCTTTGTTGTTGTCACTATGAATGGGCGTTTTAGCGTAATATCTGATCTAATTTAAGAAGGAGAAACCATCACATTTCCTATTGTTACCCATGAAGTGTCATTAAAAACACTAAGGATAATGATTGATACTGAGGACTTGCAGAATGTGTCACAAAATGGTTTGAAATACTTAATTGTGTGCACCAAAATGACAAGTTTCACAAGTTAAAGAACGAAGGAAGTAAAAAGGATTTTGTGTGTCCACCTGATTGCATGAGGTGTGTGTGAGTGTATGTTTCTGTGTGGGTGTGTGTGTATGAGGACTCAGCAGCCTGCCACCTGGCTGGCGAGTGATGCAGTGGGGGGGGTGATGGGCCACACTGTACCCAATTAATGTGAGTGCTCACTGGGCATCATGCACACAATCTCATATACTAACTCAGCCTGCATTAATCATATTTCCAAGGTAAATTATGGACATTACATTTCCTCGTTGTTTTAGTCATGTAGGTTACATTTGGATCGTTCTCAGATAATATCCTCAAATAGAAAGGATTTAACCTGACAGCTTAATGAATCTTTATTTTTATATTTTATATTCACTTAAAGGTATGGTAGGTAAGAATGGAGAAACCAGCTCGAGCGCGCTAGAACTGGAGTACGCAGCCGAAAAAAATCTGCCCCTTCCTTCAGACTTCCTTACAGAGCCCCTCCTCCAACACACACGAACGCGCACATGACCAATGAGGGCACGAGATACGTTTGTGCACGAGATGGAAGGCTGACAGGCAGGTAGGCCATCCAGTTATTTTAGCCGGGCCGGCTAAAATGATTGGTCGTGCTTTTTACAGCGCCACGGCTTCCACAGATTAAATGAAGAGCATTCCATGGAATATAACAAAAAGGGTGTCTGAAGTGAATGACCTACCCCACCTTTAATGTAACTATGACTGGGCAATATTGAGAAAATCAACATTTTTGATTGAATACCTTGATATTAATATTGTGACAATATTGTAGGTTTAACCATTGATGCTTTCAAAGAATATAAAAATAAAATGTGATAATTAATCCTTATCTATAAGGTAAACAATGCAGGTGTTATTAGTTTATGTGAAAGGAAGTAGAGACAACATGCTTTTTAGTATTCAAGGATACAGACTCTTGGCATACAAATATAAAAAAAATTCAAATTTAATTCAAATGTGGGGAACAAGTCAAGTTCCTGTTATTTTATTGTCGATAACAACATTCTCCCACAGACAAAAGACTGTATAATTATACAGAGCTGCAGTAAATGTAACTGAAGCTGTGCTGCTTTACATGAGCAGGGAATATGAGAAGTGTTTTTTGCCAGCCCTCCTCCAGCTGCTTTATTTTAATCTTTATAAGAGCAGTTTGTTCAGGTTCTGCTGGCTTACATTTATTTCTAACCTCCCTGCACCACTGGTTCACCGGGATCTTTTGCCAGGCGTCTGCAGACATACCTATGATGCACTCTCACACAAACATTTTTCTACCACACAGTCTTAAAACAACAGCCACACACAGTATACATTGTTTGCATATTACTGACGTGTGTGTGGGGGTGGGTGGGTGGGTGTGTGTGTGGGTGTGTCCAAATGTGTCTGCTGCCTTTATTGTACAACAGTAAATGTTGCTGCATTTGCATCGAATTTGCTTAAATACCCAATGAGAAACAAATATATATCTATACTGTAAAATAGTTATAAATAAGGCTTGGGACCTGCAATTTATTTTCCAATGTGATCTTGCCTAATCTGGCCTCTAAAAGGGGTACGTATCAAATAATAGTTATGACTTGTATTCAATTACAAAAAGGAAATTTAATAAGAACAATCGATAAACTCGTTTCAAAGCTTAATTAAAAAAAACAGTGTTTTAATGATGGGGGGGAAAAAGTGTTTTAATGATGGGGGTGTTTTAATGATGGGGGGGAAACATTAAAGGGACACTTTTTTCCACAGTCCGACGAGAGAAACATGAATCAGTACAAGCAGAAGGAGACACTTGGCTGTTTTTGTGTAAAATTCTATTTAAACTACAGTTTTTTTTACATTTCATTCCAGCCTATTTGAGCCAATTCTGCATTCTCAGATCGAAGCTTTTTAAAGAAGCACGTGGGGGTTCAACGCCTTGCTCAAGAGCACACAGGCCTGGTGGGGATCAGAGCTGTTGATTTCATGCCCGCTCTGGTTGCTTTTGGTGTCTTTGTGAAAGCAGACAGACCACAGTGAAACCGCAGCTTAACTCTCCGCAGAACCAAAACAGTAATTGTTTTTTTTACTGAGTCATCTCATACAAAGAGAGGTTTACTGACTTCTGCCCAAACCCAATTTTGAATGAATCCTGTGGAATTACACATTATATATTCTGGCTGTTGGAGTCATAATTCATGTAAAATAAAAGTTAAACATTTACATGTGAAACCTTCCAAGCAACTGGTATGTATGGTCCTGAGCGCACACTTGAACAACCTTTCACCTACTCTGTCACACACACACCACCCACACACACACACACACACACACACACACACACACACACACACACACACACACACACATACAACATACACATACACATACACATACACATACACATACACATACACACACAAACACAAACACACATTCTCTGCTTCCTGTTCTTCTCCTTTGCTGCTCCTGATGTTTGGATCTGGCTGCAACGACAAATGGTGGCTGGATGTAGGGAGCCGGGGGAGAAAGATGGAGAGCATTAAAAGAAAGTATTGGATGATGGATGAGGAACTTGGTTTTTGCATTAGTGATGGATCCAGTGCAGAAGCAGCGCTTATTATTCAGTTCCTGCAGATGCTCCAGCCGTAGAAGAGCAAGTAGAAGAGAGTGTCTGGGTTATGAATATCGTCCTTCAAATTGAGGAAGATTTTGGTTTAACACTTTCTCCTCCACCTTACTTCTTTAATACTTTTATTTAAATGTTCTAACATAGAACAGGTTAGGACATGGACAACACGGCACTATCAGTGAATATTAAAGATAAGAAATGAAAATAAATGCATGTAAAAGAGGTTATACAAGAAATAAGACATTCCTAGATGTTTATTACAATCCCCTTTATTTTTCCACCTTCTCCTTTTGGAGTCATGTTAATACGAAAAGCAACAGAGTGGGGATTCCTCTGCATTTTAAAATTATTTTTTACTTGCAGCCATAATGATCCTCAAAAGGTATATATTGCTTTTTGAGACCTTCAAGTTTTATTTATATAGCACATTTATAAAGATTTTTGGTCGAGCCAAAGTGCTGTACATATAATAAACATAGCCTACAGTAGAGACACTTTACAGCAAATACAACAGCACAGATTGTTCAGAATATCAGTATGAGAAAAACGACACCCTCTATCCTTAGACCCTCACATCGTACAAGGAAACACTTCCAGAGAAAACCCACAGTTTAAGGGGAAAACATGGGAGAAACCTCAGGGAGAGCAACAGAGGAGGGATCCCTCTCCCAGGACGGACAGACGTGCAATAGATGCCGTGTGTAAATCGAAGAGATAATACATTTTACAGCATATAGACCGAATGTTAGGAAATGCATGTGTCTGTAATAAGAAGATGAATCCACGAGGATGTCAGCTACAATCCTGTGGAAGCCATCAGGGAAGCAGCATGACGAGACCCAAGGCAGGACCGCAGAGACAGGTTCACTTCAGCCACGACCCGAAGTCCACGACTTAATCCAGAACTCAGGATAGAGGATCCAAGACACAGGACTACAGCAAGAGGATCAGCCTCGCGTAGATATAGATACAAAACAAGAAAAAAGATTTGGCTGGGTTGATCGGAACAAGAGAATACACAGACACAGACAGAGAGGGAAAAGGTCATTGGATAAAAGTTATTCTTGATAACCCTCTAGAAAGATCTCATGAACTTCCCCACTCAATCTATCAAGACCCGAGCAGTTCTATTAGATATAGCATAAGAAACAGAGATAGGGATCTGTCAAAGGTAAAAAAGGTCAAATCCAAGTCAGATTTCAGGTGATTAAATTGCCCACCAGGCCGATCGCTAGGGTTTTTCTTTCATTGTAAGCATCAATAAGTATACAATTTGTTATTGAGGGTCTCCTCCCTACCTGTCTCTCCAGGTGAGCCTGGGGCTCCACACTGAGTGCTAACATGCTGCGTCAGTCCGAGCCGACCAGCAGCACCTTGCAGCTGGTGGCCAACGACATGACGGGCATCATGGATAAGCTGGACGACCGCGAGCTGGACCTGGAGGATGGAGAGTACGACACCACGGACTCTCACCTCTCAGGTCAGTGTGTTTTCTCAGCGTGGCGTTCACCTACCATCATGTCTTTGTCTGGTTTTATATCTGCTGGTGTGTTTCTGCAGCCGAGCGTCTTCCTTTCAAGGCGATCTACCACATGGTGGCCTTCAAAGAGTCGGAGGCCAACGTCTTCCTGTCGTCTCCGATCACCGCTAAGATCCTGGAGGTGGAGCGCTTCACCTCGGCTCAGGACCGCTTCAACGTCACCGCGCAGAGGAGCGTCAACAAGGTGCACACACACCTTCTAAACAACTCCCTCTGTACAGTCTTTTTTCGTCTTCAATTCCACACAAACTGGTTTTGAATCGCAAGGTTTTTTTGTTGCTCAGGGTTTTTTTATCTGCAAGATGCTCAACGGTATAATGGCAAGGCAAGGCAAGGCAAGTTTATTTATATAGCACTTTTCAACACAAGGCAGTTCAAAGTGCTTTACAAAAAATGAAAGAGATTAAGAAAATGGCATTTAAAATCAGTCATTAAAAAGAAAAGCTAATAAAATAAACATTAAAAGAAAAAATACATGGTTACAGTGCAATTAAACATTAAAAGAAAAAAAGTACATGGATAAAAGTTACAGTGCAGTCTAAGATATGAATAGTTCAATTAAAAGCAGCGACAAAAAGAAAAGTCTTCAGCCTGGATTTAAAAGTAGTCAGAGTTGCAGCGGACCTGCAGGTTTCTGGGAGTTTGTTCCAGATATTTGGAGCATAATAACTGAACGCTGCTTCTCCATGTTTAGTTCTGACTCTGGGGACAGAAAGCTGACCAGTCCCTGAAGACCTGAGAGATCTGGATGGTTCATAATTTAGCAGGAGGTCAGAAATGTCTTTTGGGCCTAAACCATTCAGTGCTTTATAAACCAGCAGCAGTATTTTGAAATCTATTCTTTGACACACAGGAAGCCAGTGTAAAGACTTCAGAACAGGAGTGATGTGATCCACTTTCTTAGTGTTAGTGAGGACTCGAGCAGCAGCATTCTGAATCAGCTGCAGCTTTCTAATAGATTTTTTAGTGAGACCTGTGAAGACACCATTGCAGTAGTCGAGTCTACTGAAGATAAAAGCATGGAAAAGTTTTTCCAAATCCTGCTGTGACATTAGTCTTTTAATCCTAGATATGTTCTTTAGGTGATAGTAGGCTGATTTAGTAACAGTTTTAATGTGACTGTTGAAACTCAGGTCAGAGTCCATGACTACACCTAGATTTCTGGCTTTATCTGTTGTTTTGAACATTGCAGACTGAAGCTCAGCGCTAACTTTTATACGTTCTGACTTGGCTCCAAAAACCATTACCTCAGTTTTATCTTTGTTTAATTGGAGAAAGTTCTGACACATCCAGTCATTGATTTGTTCAATGCACTTACTCAGTGTTTGAATTGGAGCATAGTCTCCTGGTGAAATTGTTACGTAAATTTGTGTGTCATCTGCATAGCTATGGTATCTTATTTTGTTGTTCTTCATTATCTGAGCCAGTGGTAGCATGTAGATGTTAAAGAGAAGAGGCCCCAAGATGGAGCCTTGAGGAACCCCACATGTCATATTTGTCAACTCAGATGTGTATTTACCTATAGAAACAAAGTTGTTTCTGTCCTTTAAGTAGGATTCAAACCAATTCAGAACTGTTTCCGAAAGTCCCACCCAGTTTTCCAGTCGGTCTAGTAATATGCTGTGGTCAACAGTGTCAAACGCAGCACTGAGATCTAATAATACTAACACTGAAGTTCTGCCACTGTCTGTGTTTAAGTGGATGTCATTAAAGACCTTTACAAGAGCAGTCTCAGTGCTGTGGTTTGGACGAAAGCCTGACTGGAACACATCAAAACAGTTATTTAAATGCAAGAAATTACTCAACTGTTGAAAAACAACTTTTTCAATGATTTTACCTAGAAATGGCAGGTTTGATATGGGCCTGTAATTGTTCATTACTGAAGCATCTAGATTATTCTTTTTTAAGAGCGGTTTAATGACTGCAGTTTTCAGGGCCTGTGGAAAAATACCTGAGTGAAGAGATTTGTTTACTATATGAAGTAGATCTGAGGCCATGCAAGCGAAAAACATCTTTGAAAAAATCCTGTTGGAATAATATCAAGGCAGCAAGAGGAGGATTTCAGAAGTTGAATAATGTCCTCTAGGTTTTTATCATTAATCTGATGGAATTGTGTCATGATGTCTGAATTGATGTTAAGTGGAGATAGGGACAACACATTTGCTGTTCCTGATACAGAGGCACTGACTGCTTGTCTGATTTTCTGAATTTTGTCAGTGAAAAAGGAGGCAAAGTCATTGCACGCCCTGGTGGATAGAAATTCAGAGGCTACTGACACTGGGGGGTTAGTTAGTCTGTCGACGGTAGCAAACAAGGCACGTGCGTTGTTTTTGTTTTGGTAATGATGTCAGAGAAGAACGATTGTCGTGCGTTTTTCAATTCCAAATTATAAAGGCCAAGTCTCTCTTTATAGATTTCAAAGTGAACCTGGAGATTTGTTTTTTCGCTACCTGCGTTCAGCTTTTCGACATTCTCTTTTTTCTGTTTTCACGGTCATGGCCTTTCTCCATGGAGATATTTTCTTGCCAGACACTTCCTTTAACCTAGTTGGAGCAATGGCATCTATAACATTTTTAATTTTTGAATTAAAATGATCTACTAGCTCATTTACTGAGATGTTGGCAGGGGCAAGTGTGGAAGAGAAATTCTGAGTAAACATTTCTCTAGTGTTTTCAGTTAAATATCGCTTTGTGGTTATCTCTTTTTGAACATTTTTGTGAACAGAAATAGAGCTCTCAAAGAAAACACAGGAATGGTCAGAGAGTGCAACATCAGTCACCACAACCTTAGAGATATTCACACCCTTTGAGATAATTAAGTCCAGAGTGTGCCCCTTATTGTGCGTGGGCTCCGTCACATGCTGAGTCAGTCCATAGCTATCAAGAACACAAAATAGTTCTTTAGCCCCTCTGTCCTGGAGGTTGTCAACATGGATGTTAAAATCACCAACAATGACTAGACGGTCAAAGTCAATACACACTATAGACAGCAGTTCAGTAAAGTCATCAAAAAAGCTTGCACAGTATTTGGGTGGTCTATAGATATTTAGGAACAGAGCTCGAGAGGAGCATTTCAGCCGAAGGGCCACATATTCAAAAGAATCAAAGTTTCCATACGATGTCTTCCTGCATTGAAGGGAATCATTGAACAGAATAGCAACTCCACCCCCTTTCTTATGCATTCTTTCCTGACTCATAAAACTAAAGTTGGGAGGGGTTGATTCGATAAGAACAGCTGCACTGTTATTCTGTTCAATCCAAGTTTCTGTTAAAAACATAAAATCGAGATTGTGCTCAGTGATAAAATCATTGATTAAAAATGTTTTTCCTGCCAAAGACCTGACATTTAATAAAGCTAGTTTAAGTTTGTTAAACACACTATCAGTCATGTTTTTTGTAACAAGCTGTGGCTGACATGGAATCACTGCTAAATTAGATACACTCACACAAACGTGTGAGTGTAATGGCAACCACATTTCTTCTTCAGTTTTCGGCAAGGTTTTTTTTTTTTGTCCAGGCTTGATTTATTTGAACAGTTAAACATAATTATTAACATTTAAAACTAATTGAGAACATGTTTGAGTACTGTACTTCAATACAACTGTTAGGTACTTGGTTGTTACTTGAGTACTTCCATTTCCTACTACATCTGCTGCTTTATATGACAGGACTTGAACTTTTCCTGAACCTCCTGAACATATCAATGCAGCTATGTTGACACTATTAAAAGTTGACTCATTCGAGAGTTACATGGTTCTCACAGGACAGCAAAAAAGCTACAAACATATGATGCTCTTATAGAATATGATGAATTTATAATTTTCTTCAAGCAGTAAAAAAGGACTCTGCTTAATTAAAGCTGCAAATAGATTTTGTAAAGTTGCTAAAACTAGCAAAGTTGCTAGCAATTATCAATATCCTTTGGTTCGTTTTTCAAATCTTGTCAAAACGAGGTAACCTCCTTAAAATGTATTAAATGTGTCTGTGTTGATCAGTCGCTGCCGGCGGTATTTAAGATCGAGATGAAGCACGGGGAGTTCACGTGGCTGGTGAAGAGGAATGAGAAACACTTCATGGATCTGCACAGAGAGCTGCGGACGTACAAAACCTTCATGAGGCTGCCGCTGCCCAAACGCAGGTCTGCCTTCTCCCCTTCTGGAATAACGCACGTTTATGTATAGAACTCATCTTTGGTTCTTTCTTTGACATTTTTTTGTTCTAGTATTTAAAATGTTTCTCTGCAGCCACACGGTGAAGAGGCAGGCGGTCACAAGGAGCGAGGGGGGGCAGATGCCGAACCTCCCCCGAGTGGGAGGAGACGATCTGGAGAGGGAGGACCAGGTGTCCAGCCGAAGGGTACGCCCTCCACCTGAGACACTACTGTCAATCAAAGTCCCTCCTGAATACTTTATTATCTTGCTGAATTCTCTGTTATGCGTTGCAGAAACAATTGGAAGATTACTTGAATAATCTGCTAAAGAAGCCGATGTACAGGAACTACCACGCAACGGTAAGGAGCATTTGGAGTTAGAAAAAGGGTTCTTTTATCTTGATAAATTACAAAATAGTTTGGGAAAATATGTTGATGAATGTTGTAATAGAAACAGTTATTTATTTATTTCAGATGGAGTTCATTGACGTCAGCCAGTTGTCCTTCATCCATGATCTGGGACCAAAAGGCTTGTAAGAACAATACCATGTCAAAAATGTTAATAAATAACTTTTGGTATTTAATTCTTGAACCTCAAAAACGACTTAGTCCTGCTGTTTCGGACAGAACTTTTTACTTAATACTAGTTTAATGTGACTGGTTTCGAGAAAATTGTAATGTATGGTTCTGAAACATTTATTTATAGAAAATAATCAGAAATAGCGTCTCTGAGTACTTAGAAAAGTGTCCTATCAATTAAATGTATTATTACTATTAATTGTTACATTTGTCCTGTTCTCATGCAGGAACTTTGCTTGCTTTGTTTTGTACATACAATAAATAAAATAAAGATACAGGCAAAATAGTGCAATAGTTAAGAAACATACTAATAACAAAAATAACTAAGTAAATATAAAAAAATAATAAAAACAATTGCAGATTTCCTTCAACTCAAATGTGGATATCAATCAAAACCGTTTTATTAAGCATTTACCAACCAATGCTAGAATACCGTGAACTGCGATATCTAAAGCCTTATATGGTGCTTTGTTTTCCACACATTTAGAGTTTGTTTTATCTTTCAGAGAAGGAATGGTGCTGAAGAGATCTGGCGGACATCGGATCCCCGGGCTGAACTGCTGCGGGCGCAGCCGGATTTGTTACCGCTGGTCCAAACGGTCAGGACACAGTTCATGATATCTTTCTAATACTCAGACCTGCCTTTTGATATTATAGAGAAACTTCCAGGTTCAACTGTGATTAGAATTTATAACGGAAATGATTAGTTGTTTGTGTTTATGCTGATTGTCGATGTGAAGATCATTTCTTTATGTAAACTGCTTGAAAATATTTATGATATTTCAACCTTTCTACAAATGTTGTAAAATCCTTTAAAACTAAAATAAATGGGTTTTAAAATGACCTTGTATCTTTTATTTATGTATTGTTGTGCAATGCCTGGATTACCTTCTGCCTTTGCAAAATCAAAATCTAGCATCAATGAAATTACATCTATCCATTTATCTATACGATGTCTAACTTTGTTCTGCCTGTGTGCAGCACATGAAATATAAAATAGTAAAGTGTATATCATTATAAATCTGAATTTGTGTGTGTGCAGCTGGCTGGTGGTGAAGGACTCGTGCCTGCTCTACATGAAGCCGGAGTCGGGGGCCGTCTCCTTCGTGATGCTGTTCGATAAAGAGTTCAGCATCAAGATGGACTCCAAAGACACGGAGACCAAACACGGAATCCGCATCGACAGTCTCTCCAGGTCTGTGAAACATTTACTTTATTATATCTGGTACTTTAAGTCACTTTTATTTACAAATCTAAATTTAATATAAATATATAATATATAAATGAATAGCTCTTTATCGAACTCCAGGAAATGGCTTCAGACACATTTGTTTTGAAAAGTTACTTTAATCTTTCCTTAATTTATCCAAACTTCCTTTAAATGTCTGAAGGATAGGGAAAGGTTTTACTGGAAGAAGAGGTCTGTGTATTTCATTTAACATACTACTTTACGTGCTTGCCAAAAAGTATTTTAAATTCTAAAACTAAATAGAACACACCATTGATAACCTTTCAAGGGAATTGTATTTATTTTCTAGGGTCTGTAAATCAACTTCTAAAGAAAGCCGTTAAGGAATACAATAATATTGATTTGCTCAATCTTAACCCGATAATTTCGTATGACCAGCAAAACGACACAAAATGAAATCTATATTAACTTTTTCTTTGTCCAAAGAACTACAGCAGGTGATATTTTATTAACAATCATAATTTTTTGATAGCAACAGAGAACATAGCTCATTTGTGTCAATTGTGACTAAGGAACAACTCTTTTGCACAAATGCTAATGTGGCTTTATCAAAATATTAGAATTATAAATGTGTGTGTGTGTGTTCAGATCTTTGGTGTTGAAGTGCAGCAGCTACAGACACGCCCGCTGGTGGGGTCAGGCCATCGAGGCCTTCGTTAAGAAACACGGCGCCGCCTTCCTCACCGACCACCGCTTCGGATCCTTCGCCAGAGAAGAAGTAAACATCCCGGCTAAATGGTAACCACGGCAACTGTCACACTATCTCTTTGATAATGTGTTTTGATGTAAATGAGGAAAGCACCTGTTGTCTATGTTTTGATGTTGTGGGATTTAAGGTTGTTTACACACCCATTTTGAGATTTTGGGTTGGATTAGCCTAGATCAGAATCTGGATTTTATGTGAAAAATCAGGTCACCTTTTGTTTGGTAAATTGACGCTAATTAGAGGCAAGCATCGCAGCCAGATGTTGGTAAAGTCTAGACGAGGCCTGGTTTAGTTGGCAGTGTGTGTGTGTTTGTGTGTGTGTGTGTTTTTCGCTGGAGTAACCCGACACAAAGAGAGGGAAAGTGAGCCTCACCGGCTCATCACCTGTCTCCCTGCTGGGCAACACTATACAGTCTGTGAGACTGTGTGTGTGAGTGTGTGTGTTTGTAAGTGTGTGAGCTCTACCATTAAAAAGCATACTGAAAGGAAAGTACATGGACAGATAAAAAATGGAGAGGTGGCAGACGTATGACACCAAACTAGGATCATTATTGATAATTTTATCTGGTGAAATGTTGAAAAATGATTTCACCTCCTGCTGTTTTATATCACAGTTTGTGTGCAGGTGCTAAAGAGTGCATGCATCTATCAGAATGTGCAAATCTAAAAGAAAATTAGGTATTTAAAGTTTGTGACGTTGTATTTGCTTTTGTTTTTCTTGCTGTCTAAAGGTGTGTGGCTCAAAATGTGGATATGTGTGCATGTGTAAATGTGTGTGTATGTGTCCTCTACAGGTATGTGAACGGAAAATCATACATGGAGGATGTTGCAGATGCTCTTGAAGAAGCCAAAGAGGAAATATTCATCACAGACTGGTGGTAAGTGTGTGTGTGTGTGTGTGTTTAACTGTGTGTGTTTAACTGTGTGTGTGTGTGTGTGTGTGTGTGTGTGTGTGTGTGTGTGTGTGTGTGTGTGTGTGTGTGTGTGTGTGTGTGTGTGTGTGTGTGTGTGTGTGTGTGTGTGTGTGAGAGTGTGTGTCAGGGTGCAGTGAGTGCACTTGGCGGTCACCTCTTGTGGAGGTCTTCTGGTCAAACAGATCAGTTACCGTCTGAGGCTCAGACTTCTGTTATACTAGTTCACACACACACAGACACACAAATGCTGAACACACACACGTACATCCATTTAAATACTACATGCAAAGTGTGAGTATTTTTAAATGATTGTGAAAAACAATTATTTAAAATCAAACGCTTGCAATCAGATTAACTTAAAGTAAATGTGTATTCAAATTGTTAGAATTAAACTGTACTTCAGTGTCTAAAACAGAAAAGCAGAGTTTTGCTGTTGGATAAAAGCTATTATAAAACTGTGAATGTAAGTGAGCACAGTGTTTGATCAATCAAATGTACTGTGGCTGCAGTCGAATAGTCCAAAAATCAGCCCCTATCGTCGATCCCAATCGTCTTTTCCTTGACCTCTGTGTGAAACGTCACGGGGTTAACCTGTTAAGCCTGAAGGTCCCCGCCGGCGGGGACCCTGTTTTTTTTTTTCACGACACTGTGTCTCAGGGCATCTTAATATTTAAAAACCTATTAATGTGTTATACCAGATTAACGAGAAGAATCTCAGCTAACTGACGATACGAACCATTTTTACCGAAACAAAACACAAGTCTAATAATAAATTATCATTACACCTGGGTAAAACAGAGTCCATTCTCTTCGGTTCGAAACATAATCTCAGCAAATCCGACGACTTCTCAGTTGCAGTGGGCGACATTATTGTCACAAGTAAGAAGGAAATTACATACCTAGGATCTATTCTTGAGGCAAACCTCTCCTGTGACAAAATGGCATCCAATGTAATAAAAAAAGTCAATCAAAGAACTAGATTCCTATACCGGATCTCCTCTCTGGTAAACAAAAACACCCTGAAAACTCTGGCAGGAGCACTCATTCAAGGGTACTATGACTATGCTTGCACGTCATGGTACCATAGCACCTCCAAGGCGCTAAAAATAAAACTTCAAACATCGCAAAATAAACTGGTCAGACTACTGCTTGACCTTTCATCTAGAACCCACCTCACCTCTGCCCACTTTGACAACCTAGGATGGCTTAGAGTAGACGACAGAGTACAGCTACTTGCAATGGGCCTGGTCTACAAGATCCACTACACCTCTATGGTACCCATGTAGGCTACATGTCGAAATTCTTCCCAAAGGTCAAGGAATACCATGATCATAACACCAGAGGGAGCTCCACAAATCATGTGAAACCCAGATTTGGCACAAAAAAGGGGGAATACACGTTTCGCAATTATGCCACATCAAGGTGGAACGCTCTTCCCACAACTGTAAAGGAAAGTAAAACTATACTTACCTTCAAAACCTCTCTTAAAGAGCACCTTCGGGGGAGAGCATTGCAAAACTGGCCCCGGTAATGGTACAAATCTCAACCTGTCGTTCAATGGACAGCTTCCCCCCCCCCCCCCATCTATGTATATACTCGCATTTTAGACTCTGTTACTAACTGTATATCTGTAGACTTGGTATGTCTTAAATGTCCGGTTAGGATGTATTAGAACGAAATCTAAAATGAAAATTGTAAACAAGCAATCTGTATGTAAAAAAACCACCTGTATGTAAATTGTAAATAAGCCATCTGTATGTCAAATATGTCTTATATGTCTTAAATGACATGATGAATTGGAAATGGGGGACCCTGATGTAAACAAGACGAAAGTCTTTCTCTGGTCTGCATCCCCTTAACAATTGTATGTTTTGAGCTGTACTGTACTGTACCCAATATACAAGCTGTTAATAAACTTTTCAATCAATCAATCAATCAAAGTCTCACAAGAAGCGTTAGCATTAGCCCTTAGCTAAAACGGGCAGATGCTACTTCCGGTGCTAACTAGCAAAAACGATCTTTAAAACTTAATATTTTCTGCACAAACTACATATAATCTGAAAGCTGATACTCCACAGATTATTTTGTTATAAGTATCATCACTGTAGGACACAAACTCACTGAGCTAGCAGCCAGAACAGAGAAGAAGAAAAAAAAAAACAGTTTTCAAAACCATAACAATAATTATGTCTTACCGTTGCTGTTTTGTGATCAAAGCTCTTGTTCAAGGGAATAAAAACGCTGCTTAAAGTGAATCCAATGTCTCTTAGTCACTTTAGAATTGTTCCTGATAATCTATCATTACATTCATGGCAGCAGAGTAGGTATAAAGTTTCGCAGTCCCGAGCTAATGCTGTCTCACGTGCTGTTTACGCAAACCTCTCTCTACTTGACGTAAGTGTTTAGCGGGACTTACTAACTGTCACTCGATTCTATTGGCTCTAACGGTTCAGAAAAGGTGTCAATCACCCACATCGACCAATGGGTTCCAAAGATATGATCCTGCGTAGTATAAACTACGCCCGCTCCGGCTCCATTACGCATTACGCAGCCAGAAGGGAGAGCTTCACATAGCGGGGCTATGATCATACCAGATGACTCTTCATCAGATGATGAAGATCTCCTCCAGCCAGACCTGGATCCGGACAGTAGTGACTCGGATGTTGAACTTCCACCACGGGAAAGGCATGTAATCTCTCTGTTTTTATATATTACTTATGTGTTTGGTGGAACTGCGTCACAGTGCTAGCTTAGCCAAGAAGCTACAGGAATGATTAGCCAAAATGCTAAATAGTGTTACTTGTCTTTTTGTAGTTACATTTTCTAAATGAATGGCCAGTGAATGAATATATATATGTGTTTACTTATTTATTTGGTGTAATATTATTCATTTATAGTCCAATATTATCCTTTATATACAGTGGCGTTTTCTCCCGGCGGCCAAGGGAAGCCAGGCTTCCCTTGTTTTTTCGGATTGTAGTTATAATTTAAATAAATAAATAAAAACACTTTGTTTTGTTTCGATAATTCTCCTTTGCTGTGTGTTGCTGCCGGTGTTGTGTCACATTATGCCTCCCCGTCATGAAATGCCCCCCTTGTCACGGTAACGCGCATTTCTAAATGACACGTTTACACCTTAAAACGATGTTTAAAACGAAAAGTAAACGTTCAGGGTTTTTATTAATGGTAATTTTCAGACTGTGAGTTGTTTAGTGGTAGCTCATAGTCTTGATTCTTCTGGTTTAACTTTTCGCTCCGTATTTGAGGTGTCGAAATTCATTCGTCACTTCCTTTTCAGTTTATCTTTTTTTTATCATTATTGTTACGTCCTGTCTGTATAAACGTGCTTTAAAATGTATTGTTTAATTTTACATAGTTGTCATCTAATAATCAAAATATATGTTTACAAATGTTACATAGTCTTTGTCAGCATATTATTAGGCGCTATGCGTACAAAATAAAAGTGTGACATTCATGAAACTTGCTCCATTTATTGGTACCAGTCCTAGAACCATACCCTGAAAAATGCTTGAGGGTGGGATTCATAGAAACCTCTTTTTTTGGGGGGGGGGGGGGGCATTTTATGACAGGCCTGTCCATCACAATATGCCCCCCCTCCGTCCGCCGCATTTACGCACTGTACAACACACACCTACACACTGTACCACACACACACCTACACACTGTACCACACACACACCTACACACTGTACCACACACACCTACAGCTCCTAAAGCATAAGCCGTTGTGTATTTTATTATGTGAAGCAATGGTCTTAGAAAAATATCGACTCTTTGTTTGTAGATATCTACTAAACTAAAGCAAATAAAGAGAGTAGGCCTGTTATACTGAGTGATATATATTATACACACTGCTCTGCTTTCTGCATGGACCGTACAGCTGTTCTCTCTGGAAACATCGAGACGCGATGAAAGCAGTTTCTAAAATAATATCCAGGGGATGCATGCATAGCTGTCATTGGCTGAGATAAGTCCGGCCGTGCGTCACGCCTCCACCGTTCCCGGAAATGCATCCGTGGAGGAGCCGTGGAGGAACCATCAGTGTATCCTCGGTTATAGCTTCTCCAGAGAGCCTCCTCGACGCTCGATGCTCGGTCCTCGGTCTGCATTTAGAGAAATGAGACGTCCTTCAAAATGGCGCGCTGAAATTCATTTCCGGGTCACCACCGGAGGACCGAGGAGTCGAGGAGGGGAATTTTGAGTATTGAGAAGCCTCTATTGAGTATTTTACAAAGAGTGAAACAAACAGCGCCCCTCTAGATGTTATGGTGAAACAGTAGATTGCACTCTCTGTTGCGAGAGGAGGCCAGCCGAATCTGTCTTCCCTTGGTGAAAAAAAATTGAGGGATTGACCAATCAGATGAGGCCCACGTGATGCCCCTGCCAACCTGTGATTGGTCAGGGCCATGCCAAGGGAAGCCAGCCGCCTCTTGCTTCCCTTCAGTGGCGGCTGGCGATTTGATTGGACACTGCCATCCAATCAAATCACATCAACATCAGTTTTAATACTGTCATCACCGCCGTTAGAAATTATCAAGCAAATGAAGCATTATGGAGGGTGGAGATTTGGCGTACTTAATCAAACATAACTTTACTAAACTTCCGCTACAGCAGCAACTACAAATTAAATCAGATGACAGGCCAATGCCCGCACTCGAGCTGTGTGTACACAGAGGAAAAAGGGAGAGAATCGGACGTTCAATGAGGACAATTATGTCCGCACGGAGTGGCTAACTGGAAGCGCTAAACTTCAGCGTCTATTTTGCTGGCCATGTCTTCTTTTTGACAAGGATTCGTGCTCTCTGAACAATCCTTGGGCAACTTCAGGATTCATCGACCTTGGCAACCTGTCACGGGCAATTGAGAGGCACGGTAAATCCAAAAATCACATAGATTGTGTTATTGTCTGCATACATTAATAAGTAAAATGCTTAAATTAATAAGGAGAGAGTTTCAGCTGGAGAGTGCGTGCGGAGCTTTCGGTTAGATAACAGGCGTGTGCAAGTCCTGCATCTGTGTGATACAAATGTGTGTAAAATGATACCGGGCGCTGTAATCACTCATCTGGTTACGTTATTGACCACCCCCCCACCCGCCCGACCCAAAAAATGGGCTTCCCCTAAATTTTTCCCCATGCCACGCTACTGTTTATATATTACTTTTGTGTTTGGTGGAAATGCATCACAGTGTTAGCTTAGCCACGAAGCTACAGGAATGATTAGACAAAATGCTAAATAGTGTTACTTGTCTTTTTGGAGTTACATTTTCTAAATGAATGGCCAGTGAATGAATATACATGTTTACTTATTTATTTGGTGTAATATTATTCATTTATAGTCCAATATTATCCTATAAGTATAAGCCAGTGAATTAATCTAATCTCTTTGTTTTTCCACATTTGTTAGATGAGGAGTGACCCCAGCAGGACAAAGCCACACACCCAGAAGACTTTCAGGGAGCAGCTTGCTGCAGAATTGTTGGAGTTTGCTGAAGGCCCTGCTGAAGGCCCTGCACCTCCACCACCCCCTCCTCCACCACTCACATGCATGCCCGAGTATTATGGGGAAGATGCCACCAAGGTCAGGAAGAACTGCAGGAGGTGCCTAGATGCTGGACTCAAAAGGGTGAAGACACCTGTGTACTGCAGGAAGTGCCAGGTCCCTCTGTGCTTCACTGTCAAAAAGAACTGTTTCAGGGACTGGCACAACCTAAATACTGGAACATTCAGGTAGGTATAAAGTTCAGGTAGGTATAACGTATAAGTGTTTATTTAAAAAAATACTTGTTGTTTTTATATACCTAGTGTGATTTTATTGTATAGTGTGTTGGTAAAATATTTGTTGTTTTTACAAACCTACAGTGTGGTTTTATTGTATAGTACGTTGGTAAAATGTTTGTTTTTACATGCCTATAGTGTGTTGGTAAAATGTTTGAAATAAATCTGCCCCAGTTGGAGCCAAATGTTACCTATGTTTCTGGTTTTTTTTATTGTGCAAGTACACCTACACACACTGACCTACAGTGTAGTTTTATTGTATAGTGCGTTGGTACAGTTACATACACACACAGCTACACTTACACATACACACCTACACATACCCACACACACACCTACACTTACACACACTGACCTACAGTGTAGTTTTATTGTATAGTGCGTTGGTACAGTTACATACACACACAGCTACACTTACACATACTGTACATACCTACACATACCCACACAGCTACACTTACACATACACACACACACCTACACTTACACACACCTACACACACTCACACACACAAACATATTTTAAAAAAAAATATTTAAAAAAAAAAAATATTTAAAAAAAAAAATGATTTTTATAGTCTGGTACCTGAAAAAGGTCAAATGGCACTGATGAAACCAAATGTGCCCAAAGCTTATTCTGCCTGGACTTTATTTTCATAAACCTCTCTAAAAAGGTCAAATGTCACTTGTTTTGCCTCAATCTTGATACAGGGTACTTATTATATGTTATACTTTGGATTCCTAAAGCTTTTAGGCTACTACTCCATCATTCAAGGTTGGTCTTCACTATAAGTAATGGGTTTTCTTTAGGCGGAGACAGGAATTAAAATGTTTTTGCTATGTTCCATCTGAATTTACTCTGACACAGAAACATCTATATTGATTCTGAGACTTCTACATCCAACTCACAGATGTAACCTTGCTTTGATAACAACAATTATTCATATAAACCTTTTAGAAGTGAAGTTATAGTCATTTGTTCTGGGAATGTCATTTTCGAGCCTGAAACCTGAAAAACAGGCTCGGGGTTTAACAGGTTAAGGAACAGTGGATAGGAGAATTCAGAAGGATTTAGGAGAAGAGACTTCGGTGCTTTGAGAATCCGACTGCACTTTCACTATCCGACGTATTTATGATGCGCCAGCGGACGTTATAAATATGCGTCTGCTGCCGTGGGGAAACTACAGTTTTCTATACAGCGGAGTGAGCGGACTACATGGATGTATAATTAGAACGGCAGACGCATCTAGAGACTTTGCACCGCGCTCTGATGGTGTTGTTTTATGCTTTATGAATGTGGACAACAGAGAAACATAAATTCTTCATGAACGAGGTTGTAACGTTCATATTTCTCTTTTTGATTATAATACTGATGAATGTTCAAAACAAAGCACTTTGGCCACTTACCACATACGTTTTAAAATGCTTAATAAGCGCCGTAACTTTCATGATATCATAATCGGTTGTTTCCGTGAACGGCCGAATATCCCCCTGCGTTAAATGCTGCGGCCGCAAGGCATTGTGGGGCAGCATTTTCTCATTTTCTTTCGTAAAGGGAGGTCCAGTGGTTCCTAAGCTAAAGGAGGTTATAAAGGAAGTTTGAAAACTCCTTTCCTATCATCTCTAGAGAATTCGAACGGCTCTTATCATGGCTGCCACTGAAGTACTTCCGGCTCCTTTCACTCCGTTAGGAAGGTTCCTAAGAGAAACTGACAATTCGACTGCAGCCTGTGTCTCATTTCTTGTTGTCATTATTTAATGATGAGACTTTATAATCTAATTTTCACAGAGTTCTGATTATTTTCAAATGAGAACTCTGAAGGTCACCCTAAATGATTTGTTTCCACAATCAATGTAATACAATCCCTGTGATATTAACAGATTTTTCAAACCTGCCAGCAGCTGTTGACCTTTAGAAATATTGCAAGTGAGTGGAAATAAAGTCTGAATTTATATGAATACAGAGTGCGTTTTTCTACAGGTTGAGTCCAGAGATCTTCCTGAAAAGGCCGGTTGTGGAGGGAAACCGCTGGCGTCTGGACAGCATCCTGAAACGCAAAGCGGTGAGCAACAAACTGCATCTTCCTGTCCTCGAACCAAAGAACACCTCAAAAAACTTAATTAGAATCCAGGATACCCCAAACATTTTTTAATATACGAATATTGTTTGACTCTAGACTGGTGTTAAGCTTCCTGTTTGTGTTTCCACAGCAACAAGGTGTACGTATCTTTGTGATGCTGTACAAAGAAGTGGAGTTAGCTCTGGGAATAAACTCCGGATACAGCAAGAGGACGCTGCTGCACCTCCACCCCAACATCAAGGTGAGCGTCACATTTATCACACGGAGCAAATGTCAGCAACATATATATATTCCCTGTGATAAATCAAGAATTCTGATTCAGTTTTAAACACACTACTTTAAAAGTCCAAGAACAAAAGTTCATATTTTCTCTATAGGTGATGCGTCACCCGGACCACGTCTCCTCGGCTGTCTACCTGTGGGCGCATCACGAGAAGATCATTGTGGTCGACCAATCGGTGGCCTTCGTGGGAGGGATCGACCTGGCATACGGTCGCTGGGACGACAGGGAGCACAGGCTGACCGACGTTGGGAGTGTGACACTCTCACACCAGGTACACACACACACACACACACATACACACACACACACACACACACACACACACACACACACCACACACACATACCTGCAACATCCACTTGTCCACACACATTTTTTGATTTTCATTTCACTTCTTTGAAACGCATTTTTAATGTTTAACTTATTTTTAAGTTCAGAAATCTAGTTCAGTTATATTTTTGATGATTCATATAAGAATAATGAGCATCTTTTTTAAAGTCTCCATTTCTCTCTATCCCCTCTATGACTCTAGTGCCTTTATTTTGATTCTTAACCCTGATTGAGCCGAACCTTTTTGTACCTTGTTCCCAGGCTGAAGCGGCCTCTCCAAACATGGCTGCTCCAGCTAACGGCAGCGGTGGGGAAAGTAACGGGAAAAACATTTTCACGGTGACGGACTCTGTGGACCAGCCCCGGCTGAAAGGGCAAGGCAGACTGAAGAGGACGAGGTTCAGCATCCGGAGACACCTGCAGAAACACGGGCTGGCCTCGGCAGACAGCGACAGCGACCTGGAGGACGAAGAGAGTGAGTGCAGCTATTGATTATTATTATTTATTAAGGTACGAGCACCAAGACGGAGGATCCCTTTTTAGTAATTATCAAGAATTATAGGTATTACTATGAGTATCATTATTCTTCTTATATGTCCTTTGCTCTCTAATGAATTTTAAAATGATGCACATGATTTTTCTATCAGGTCTTTTCTGCTGTCTTAAAACAAATAAAATAGCTGAAAATAGCTTTCTAATTTTATGAAACTTGGTGGAAGTGTGTGTAAGATTTGGGTGTTGCGCTGCACGGCCGCTGTGTTCAGGTTGGTCCCACAGCGTCAGCAGCCATCACGCTCTGATCCACGGCAGGACGGCCCCCCCCGCCCTGGGTCCGGCTGGTGAGTCGCCGGAGGTGGAGGCACATTTTTACCGTTGCCCCCCCAGCATGCTTTGCTGTGGTCTTGATCTGGATTGAACAACTTTTGAATCCCTCTGTGTGTGAGTTTGGTGATTTTTTTCCACCCAAGGTCGATTCAGAAAGTGATTCAATATGGGCAAGAATTTTAAAGTCGATGACAAAGCCTGATAATCAAACTCAACTACATTTCGTTTTCACATCATTGTGTATTATTTAAGCGAAAGTTTGAGGCGTAAATCTGTAATTCTATTAGTTTACCAACAGAAAATTAATAGACCAACATTTGTATAATCTAGTCATTCATTTAAGAATGTTAGTCAAGCAGGATGTGGGGAGTTTCTGCTTTTTATAATTTCCATTCTAATAGAAAGTATTGCACATACCTAAAACAGATCTGAGTTTTGATGAGATTCTGCAGCTGGTCTGTGCTGCAGTAAAACATTTGTTTTAGCTGCTGTTTGTTTACACATCTCTGCCTGTGTGATAGATGGGAAGTGTCAGAGATGAACGTGAGGCAAACAACCGTTGCTAAAAACTAAAAGAAGTCACAACTCAAGGGAAAAAACCCTTTGTTTTTGTTCTGTACTTTGACTGAAGTTACTTAAATCATTTGTGTTATTGATTTAAGGTGAGTCAAATGTGTGTAATTTCAGTAGAGTGTATGTCTCCGCATGTCCTCTCTTCTCTCCAGTTGCTGTTTTAACATTTGTTAATGTGCTGTCGAAACATTTTCCAAACACACACAAACACAATACTTGTTAGTTGATCAATTAAGTGTAAATAAAGAATATGACCATCATTTTTGTCCAAGTTTAACCTTGAATGAGGATAAAAATGCACCAGAAATCCACATCAGAAACGATTGATTTCATGCTTTTGTTATTAATAGTCGTTCCACACTTAAAACTCCCAAAGCATGTTGTTTACATTTGAGGCTTTTTTGTGAATACATTAGGGTCATTTACTGAGATTATTATAATTTTTTTTGAAATATCTCTTAACTCATTCCTCCCATAGACTATTTTATACTCAAATATTGTTTTAAAATGTGTGACATTGAAATAAATTCTGATCAATATCAATTAATATCAATATTGACAGTAGATACTGCAATCTAAAGTGCTACATTTTAGTTATATTTTCAGTTTAGCTCTGATATTCCGCTTAGTAAGTTGCACTTAAAGCAGGAACTTTAAGAGGAACTAAAACTCTGAGTAGGCTCATTTATTTAAAGAGATTTCTGCTGAAAAATAACTGAAAATGTAATGCGTGTGTTTCAGTAAGCGGCTCGCAGCGCAGTCTGTACACGGGCGTCGGGGAGTTATTCGGAAACACGCGCTTCTGGCACGGAAAAGACTACTGCAACTTCGTGTACAAGGACTGGATTCAGCTGGAAAAACCTTTCGATGGTGAGAACATCATCAACCTCACATTTCTGACATTAAAACTACAGAAATGTCCTCCTCACATCCGTTTCTGCTGTTTCAGACTTCATAGACAGACACACAACTCCCAGAATGCCTTGGCACGACATCTCCTCAGTGGTCCACGGGAAAGCAGCTCGAGACGTGGCCCGACACTTCATCCAGCGCTGGAACTTCACCAAGGTCAGAGGTCACGCTGATGTTGTCCCATCATGCTCAGGAATACATTCACAAAGAATGGATTGCAATATGTATGCAGTGTTTCCCACAGATATGAAATATACTTGGGCGGGTGGTGGCAAAAAAAAGTTTTAACAACATTATTTATTGACTTTTCATTCCGGTATAATCATTTTGCGCAAAGATGGCACTGTTTGTCAGAGCACTTCATCCTTCTGGGATTTCATGAAGAACAGCTCCAACGCCTGTGTGTATGGGAATGCCTCTGGTGCTGGTCCATTAACTGCCAGTGTTTCCCACAGATCTGAAATATACTTTGGGGGGTGGTGGTAGCGGGGGGGGGTTGAGGTGACGTGCAACAACATTAACCTTTCTGTTGGTCGCTTGTTAGCAGACCCTTCACGCGATGGCAGAGCGAACAGGTACAGGCAGGGTCCATAATGATAGCCCTATAGTTTAAATCTACTACCCACACATGAATATATGGAAATGGGTTACTATTTAAAAAAATAAATGTATTTATTAATGTATTTAGGAACCTATCCATGTGATTTTTAGTGGGGGTCGACCTCAAATCCTCTAGGGGGGTCCAGGGGCATGCCCCCCCGGTAAGATTTTATTTTTTATTTTGGAGTTAAATGCATCAATCTGGTGCATTTTGAGGGGAAAATAAAGAGACTAGATCTATGGAAACACCTATATTTAACAGAACTGTATACATTTCAATAATCATAAAATCAAGGCCATAACCAATAACATACCTTTTCCAATATGAAAAAAACACTGAAACTTGTTTATTAATTTAGTTTTGGTTCATTTATAGTTGTGAGTGTGTCTGTGCTCCTGAATCAGCCTCTCCTGTCTCCCTCCTCTCCCCCCCTCTCCATCCTCTCCCCCTGCTCCTCTTTGAGGCAGCAGCAAAGACTAGTTTTCTCTCAACAAGTTTTAAAAGTGTATCTTACCTTTTTTCACCTAGTTAACTTTTTATTTATTTATTCATGCATATTTTACTAATCACATTACATTTCATTTAGCTGACGCTTTTATCCAAAGCGACTTATAATGACCGATTACAGGGACATTCTCCCTGGAGTAACTAAGGGCTAAGTGCCTTACTCAAGGGCACACTAGTGGTGGTGTTCCTGGCGGGATTTGAACTCACAGCCTTCCGATCTTCAGCCCACCTCACTCTCCATTAGACCAATCACTACCCTCTCAAATGGAAATATGTGTTTACATAAATGGTGACCACACCGTTTGAGACCCACTGAGAACTTAGACTAAGTTAACTATCTAAACACTCAGAGAGTCCTTTACCTCACCTGAGCTGAGGTTATCCCGAGCTTGAATGACACACAGAGACCAATCAAGGGCTTTGATTTATGATCTGTATGACAGTGGCCATGTCGGCAGGCCACATCATGTGGACAGCCAGTCACCCTGTGTGAGGCAGGCCACTTAACAGGCCAGAAGGAGGCGAGATCAGAGCAAGGGAGCGAGGGATCATTGTCTACAAGTTAATCGATCGCAGATGGCGTCGTGGTCACGGACGAATAAAAAAAAAAAATATAAAAAAAAAAACTTATAAAAAAAAACAAAAAACTAAATGGGTCGCGAAATATACTTGGGCGGCCGTTAATATACCTGGGCGGCCCGCCCAAGTATAGTCTATGTGTGGGAAACCCTGGTATGTGTACTTTTTGGATTTTAATGTCCCAGTCTCTCAGTCACTTATAATTTAACTAAATGCAGTGATGAAAGCTGATCTTTTTAAATTGGACTCTATTTGCATGGCGCTTATTTGCATCAAAAGATGTCAAGTTTTCTCCATTTGCCTACATATTACCTAAATTAAGTACGGACAAATAGAACAGGAGCACCTAAACTCAAGTTGTTTTGCAGTGTGTGGATGCATTTAATTTCCTGGGTTTTACTCTTTCCTCTGTTTCTCTGGCAGATTATGAAGCCGAAGTATCGCTCTCTGTCGTTCCCGTATCTGCTGCCCAAATCTCACACCACCGCCGAAGAGCAGCGCTACCAAGTACCCAACTGCATCCCCTCTAAAGTGCAGGTGAGGAAGAGTTCCACCTGGAGATTTTAGCTGTTTATATCACTTGATTAAAGTTGACTTTGACTGTGTTTCAGTTTTATACTACATTGTAGGGAAGCTTTGGAAGTTTCTTTGGATAAAAGCATTTGCTAAATGTAGTGTAAGTTTGTTTTAGTGTGCAATTTGTCTTCACTGGTTACATGACAAAATCCTCAAAGTTGTCAGTATGCACACCAAATCCAATATGCAATAGTACAGGGTCAAACACAAACATTTTGTCTAAAAAGAAACTCGATCCAACTTTCCTCTTAGCAAAGAAAAAGTTAAACATTTTGTAAACAAAATAATGTTCACTAAAAACACAGATCCTATTACTTCTTCCTCCAATGATTAAATATTGCACATGCTCCAGAGATGGCAGAACATATGTTTTTGTATTTCCCGACTACCCTCAGATCCTACGCTCAGCCTCTGATTGGTCGGCTGGCATCAAGAACCACGAGGAGTCCATCCACAACGCGTATGTGCAAGTCATCCTGAACAGCCAGCACTTCATTTACATAGAGGTACTTTCTGTTCAAATGTAAACAAAATATCTAAGCTGCTTAACTTCTGACACCAGGTCATTTTCTACATTTCATACAAACGATGAATTTAAAATTCAGAAAAGCAATGGAAAAATGTACTTCAGTCTGTCAAACCTGATGCATTTTTTTCAATTTTGCAGCATATTAATGTGTTTTGAGCACATATAGAGAGGTAAGTTCTTGTTTGTTAATAGATGTGTGGTTTTTTTGCTTGTTTTTCAGAATCAGTTCTTCATCAGCTGTTCAGACAACAGATACGTGTTCAACAAGATAGGAGATGCTATTGCACAGCGCATCATCCAAGCATTCAGGTAACACACACACACATACAAAAAAATATATTACATTTAATTAACACACACTTTGTAAACTTCTGTATGACTCTGTCTATGTTATGTCTTCTGTAAATGATAGTCGCATGTTGTCATTGTGTATATGCACTCAGGCTTATCTTGAAATGATTTCCAAGAAACACACACATACACACACACACAAATACACACCAACACACACACATATGTTGCTGTGTACTTTCCAGAAAACTAATGATTGATTAACTCATTTAATTTCATATGTTTGAATATTTTCTATTCAAGCATCAGTTTATTTTTGATGTCAAAGCTTATCAGAGCACACACATCCTGCACAAAACGCAGGAAAACACAAAGCTGACCTGATTTCTTCCTGAAACTTGAATAAATAAACAATCCAGGGCGGCTTTTATAAATGTTTTTCTCGGTGTAATCTAATTTAAAGGAAAACACTTAAAGTGTTGAAACCAACTCCCTTTTGGGGAGAATTAAATGACTTTCTGCTTTTATTCACTCCTTTCTCAGGATTTTCGTCTCTTGCGTTGTAAAACTGTTAAAGTTCACAGTATTTATTTAGTCTCATTATATTTTCATGCTCAGCTCGGATAAACTGAAGAGTCTGCCTCCTAAATCCCAAACGGCCTCATAAAATACTCTTGACAGAAGGAGATTTGAGCCAGACTAATACATCACATCAGCCACAGATGGTATCGGTCAGTAACAAGATGTTGCACTGTTAAAATGCCAAAAATGTTTTTGTTTAAAAAGGTGTTATCAACACATATTTTATACACCAAACTCCTTTTTTCAATGTTAAAATCTGTTGAGTACCCGGTTAAACTTCTTTAAGATCTAAATGAAAGGCAATGTTAATAATGACGGCTTCCAACTCAAACATTGAATCTTACATTTGTAAACATGTTACCTTCACTGACACTATACATAGTGTGTTTATGTTTCCTTTGGCAGTATGTCATGATCTTGTCCTCCTGTCCCAACATGACTCAGTTACACAGTACTTTGAGCAGCATTTTAGATTTTCCAGCGCACCAATCCAACAAAATGTAAGCTGCAACTTTGTAAACATTTTAAAAACACTGATCTGCTATTATAATCGTAAATTAGCATCTGATCAGTTGTTGTTGGTTCCATCCAGCTTCTGGATACATGTTTCATAAATAAACCACATCAGTATATTTAAAATGTCTCCCTCTCTGTGTGTGCTGTCAACTGTTTCAGGGAGGGTAAAAAGTACAGAGTGTACCTGGTGACGCCTCTGCTGCCGGGCTTCGAGGGAGACATCAGCACCGGAGGAGGCAGTGCCCTCCAGGCCATCATGCACTTCAACTACAGGTGTGTGAGTGTGTAAGACAGATAATGCAGCTGCCACTAACCCACCTGTTGCCTGAGTTTCTTTGATGAGGGTTACATCCCGGTTAAAGAGATTATAGACACACTTTGACTCTTAAACCACAGTGCTGTTAACTCTGTTAGTACTGTGTGTGTGTGTGGTGTGTGTGGGTGTGTGGTTGTGTGTGTGTGTGTGTGTGTGTGTGTGTGTGTGTGTGTGTGTGTGTGTGTGTGTGTGTGTGTGTGTGTGTGTGTGTGTGTGTGTGTGTGTGTGTGTGTGTGTTGTGTGTGTGTGTGTGTGTGTGTGTGTGTGTGTGTGTGTGTGTGTGTGTGTGTGTGTGTGTGTGTGTGTTTCATTGTCTGCAATCCTGGGTAAACACTCCCTATGCATACACAGTGACACACTCAGGTGTGTGTAGTGAGGAATGTGGATCTCATGCTCCTCTCTGTCTGCAGGACGATGAACCGAGGAGAGCACTCCATCATCTCACAGCTGCACAAAGAGAGTAAGTAACTTCCCGTTTACTCTTAGCGACTCACAGCTGATTGGTCCATGTTGTATGTACAGTGCAGCTGTTTTAAAAAAGGCAAAACATCCAGCTCCTCTTTTATTTCCATGCAATAAATAGCTATCAGTGAATAAACCGCCTAATTAAATATGATCCTCAATGTATTGGATGGAAATATTGAATATAAAATTACATTTTTCAGATTGTATTTAACTTTTTTAAGAAGTATTATTTAAGGATTTTTTTATTTAGACGTTTAAATAATGTCACATACCAAATGGAATATTGAATATAATATTTTGTTTATTTAAATGTGTTATGCTACCATTATTTTAGGAATTATGGATTATCAATGTTATATCGATATTAATTTTAAACTTAGATCTTGAAAACATTCTTACACACCCATTGAGAATTGCAATATATAATAAACACGTGTATCTGTTGTGTTACATTTGTTTTATTATCATGATATAATAATTATGTATTATTCATTAATTTTTTTAATTATCATTTCAAAATCTCACATACACATTCAAATCTATAATATCATATTTAGTTTATTGATATTTTTTATTAAATGTCTAATATCCTTATTTTTTGCAGCTTTGACATTATGCCCTAAATTGAGTGTTAAAATGAAATACAATATAATTTGTAAGCCAACACACTCTTTTTGAGAACTGTGTGTGTGTGTTTGCAGTGGGAGACCAGTGGATGAACTACATATCCATCGCTGGTCTGAGGACTCACGCTGAGCTGGACGGGAAGCTGGTCACGGAGCTTATCTACGTCCACAGCAAGATGCTCATCGCAGACGACAACACCGTCATCATCGGTATTTCACCCAAACCTTCAGCTGCTTCTTACATTTCTCCATTACAAGATTAAAAGATGACAGGTGTAAGGAATATTCCCCTGACACGGCACTGTACATGTATAATAGAGGAGAGGGAAACAGGAGCTGCAGAGGGTCAGATAAATGGACATCTTGTTATTTTAGAGGAGGCACAGAAGGAAAATGACAACATAAATGTTAAAAGCAGGAAGTAGCAAAAAAGCTGGGACAGGTTTCAGTTTCCGCTGCGCCACTTGTGCTAAAAATATTCGGTAATGGAGATTGAAAGCTGCAGATAAAAGGAACCACAAGATGGTACAAAAAATAGTTTTGCTGGTTAGGTCTTTTTGGCTTGTGACCCTTTTACTTGTTGCATGTTTTTTTAATTACTTTCACTTCTCAGATTGTTTGATTAAAGATCATTTTCAAAGGCCTTGAGAGGTAAAATTAACTTAAGCTGAACCTGTTTTTGTTATCTCCTCCCACAAAGATGCCAGTACGAGGCAGGGACAAAATAAAATAAACTGTTAAAGATATTCACACTACGACTTTAGAACATTTAATAAACCTTGAGAAGTTACAAATCTCACACATTTTATAATATTATGTGGAAATATAGTATGTGAAAATCAATAATAATTGGTCCATCTCTGGTACAAACCTCGATACCATTAAACATAGCTATAAAAATATAATGAAGAATCATTCATGTTCATGCCTTTTAATTTATAAGTGTCGACCCATTTTGGAGTAATACATTTCGATTTTAAACAATGTTTTTAATGTACAGGCACTTTTTTTCTATATTATAAGTGAAAGAGTTTTTTTCCCACAGAAAATAATAATGCAGTATTACATTTCCTGTATTTTTGTATGAACTTCACCCTGTGGTCTGAGATGAGGTGCAGCAGCGCCACCTGCTGGAGGACTCTGTGATTTATCCTGTTTTCTCTCTTTGTGTTTCGGCAGGTTCTGCAAACATCAACGACAGGAGCATGCTGGGAAAGAGGGACAGCGAGGTGGCGGTGATCGTGGAGGACTCGGAGATGGTGCCGTCGGTTATGGACGGGCAGAAGTACCAGGCGGGAAAATACGCCCTGCAGCTGCGCCTCGAGTGCTTCAGGTACTGAAAACATCCTGAATCCTGCTTTTTAAATGTCTTTATTCATGTTTTCATTAATTTGCTTAATTATTATTACATTTAAATGTTTAAGTAACAATGTTATTTCCTCATCGTGTCTGCTTGTTGCCAGATATCCAGCAGTATCTCAGCGTTTCCTTCAGTTTTTTCTGTGCCTCTGTCTCTCTGTCAGGATGATTTTGGGCGCCAACACGGACTCCTCCATCGACGTGTCGGACCCCATCAGCGAGACGTTCTTCAAAGAGGTGTGGACGGCCACCTCCGCTCGCAACGCCACCGTCTACCAGAAGGTGTGTCGGATTTTTTATCATATTTATGTTTTATATCTGTTTTTACTAAATGAAGGATTTGAATGTGAACACTTGTGCCTTAGGAACAATACTGTCTACTCTAGGGGAACAATCTATTTGATTATTGTGTGTGTATACTCAAGGCATTATTACAACTCCCCATCACCACCTTTTTTATTTATTTTCCATTTCCCTTTTAATTTGACTCTATTTTGTATTTCAATGTTTTTGTTATTATTTTAAAAAAAAGTATTATTTACTAACAGCAAGGTTCATCTGTTTTTCAGAATAAAATAATGTTATAATAAATGAACAAAATGTATAAGTCCAACATTGTTTAAAAAACGGATTTGTTGTCAGGAATGTATTGTCAGAATTTAATAATTTTGAAGTTTTGTTCCTCCATCTATTCTCCAGGTTTTCCGCAGCCTACCGTCCTCTGACGTGCGGAACATTCTGGATCTGGAGGGCTTCCTGGCCGTGCCCGGTCTGTGCACCGAGGACCCGGCGCGGGCTCAGGAGAAGCTGAAGAAGATCCGCGGCTTCCTGGTCCAGTTTCCTCTCGACTTCCTGTGTGAGGAGAACCTGCTTCCTCCCATCGGGTCCAAGGAGGCCATGATGCCCATGGAGGTGTGGACCTGAGGAGGAAGCACCCCAGCCTATACGGTCATGTGTTCACACTCAGCAAGAGTAACGCATTCAGGTGGATCAAAACACACTCTGGTGACATTTTGGAGGTCAAAGTGGCAGAAAACAGCTTTTATTTTTTTGTTTAAGCCCAAAAGTTATTTGTATAGCAGGCAAGAGAGATAAAAGCCTTATAAGTAGTTATTATAAGCAGATGTTTGATATCCTTTTTTTTATTTGGGTTGTAATTGTTATTTATTATTAATGTAAGTGGTAAGATGACCAAGCAGATAATAAAGAAACTTTGAACAAGTAAATGAAACTAAAATCCTGTAATCTCGATTATAAACATCCATCACTTTTTAAAGACCGACTTCATCTCTAAATAGTGGTTTAAGATAATCAGGATAAACTGTTTTAATATTTTTTAAGTCAGCGGTGCCAAAATCGTCTTTTATTTTAGTTTTAAATGCAAAATTGTACAACAAATATAACGGCAGAAACAGCAATTAAATTTGTATATTTTTCTAATTAATTTAAATTTTAACTTTTGGCCTGTAAGCCCCAAGTTGGTGTTTCTTTCGCTGTTGGAACTACTATTTTCGGGTGTAGCCACAATCTAAGATATTATTCCAAGGGGACCAATAATACAAATATACTCTAAGTTGTAATAAAGCAACGTTTTCCTTTTAAGATGTTCATGGTCACAGCTGCTGATCCTAGAGAAGATCTGCATGTAACACTTGAACAACAGCAAAAAATGTTCTCTTTATTAAGGAAAATAATACATCTATATTTTTTTAGTTTTTCTGTTTACCGCCAGCAATGACTTCCAAAATGGCGTTAGCTGTGGTTGTGGACAGAGCCTCAGTACCAGCAGTGCCACTGAATGCACATGAATTACATTACACTTAAAAAACAAATGCAGAGACTTTCAGAACTCATATGCATAAATAATACATTATTGTTATAAAACACACATGTACATGCAAACACTGCAAGAAGTGGACCAGAAGACTCCGCAGTCCCTGGACTAAAGTTTACAGAATATAGTAGAAGAAGAAAGGTAAAAATGGATCCTCACCATCAGAATATCACTTTATCTCCTTTTTTAAACATTTCGCTCCTTCTTTCTCCAACAACACTATGCAACGTGTAGGACCGGCAAAATACACTAAAATAACTTTAACTACCTACACCTCAGCCACCTGGCAACGCACCCCCAGCGCCGCACCTCTCCCATTGCAACCTCTCCTCCTTCTCCCCTGTGGATGCTCTCCAAGTGGCCAAACTGGTCAGCTCGGCCAAGACCTCCACCTGCTCCCTGGACCCCTTGCCCACAGCCCTGGTCAAGGACTTCCTACCCACCCTCTGTCCTTATATGGTGGTTATCATCAACGCTTCTCTGGCTCCTGGTATAGTCCCCACCAGCTTCAAAATGGCCTCAGTCATGGCCTGGACCCGACGACCTCCACAACCACCGGCCGATCTCTGACCTTCCCTTCCTAAGTAAAACTCTGGAAAGAGTGGTCGCCGGCCAACTCCATCTGTACATGTCCAACCATGAGCTCTATGAGCCCTTCCAATCCGGCTTCAACACAGCACTGAGACCGCCCTCATCAAGATCACCAACGATCTTCTCATTGCTGCTGACTCTGGCCGCCTCAGCATCCTCATCCTCCTGGACCTCTCTGCAGCGTTTGACACCATCTCCCACACCATCCTCCTCACCCGCCTATCTGACCTCCTAGGTGTCACTGGCACAGCCCTGTCCTGGTTCACATCCTACCTCCATAACAAGGAACAGTTTGTAACCATCAATGGCTCAAATTCACCCCCCTGCCCCAGTCAATCACGGTGTACCCCAGGGCTCTGTGCTTGGCCCCCTCCTGTTCACCATTTACATGCTCCCCCTCGACCAGATCATCCGCCATCACGGACTCAATTTCCACTGCTGCGCTGATGATACCCAATTATATCTCAGCACTACTCCATCCTCCCAGCTCCCCCCTCAGTCTCTCGTCAACTGCCTGCACGACATAAAAACCTGGATGTCGTCCAACTATCTCAAACTCCACAGCAGGAATACGGAGCTCATGGTTGTGGCACCCAAGGCGCTGCTCCGGAAGGTTGGTGACTTCATCCTTGAGGTTGACTGCTGCTCCATCTCCCCATCTCCTGAAGCCTGCAACCTTGACTCCACCCTTTCCTTCCACTCCCACGTCAAGTCTGTTCCCAAATCTGCCTTTTTCCATCTAAGGAACATTGCCAGACTCCGACCGACGGAGTCGGTTGCAGAAACCCTAGTCCATGAGTTTGTCACCTCCCGCTTGGACTACTGCAATGGTGTCCTGTTTGGGGTCCCCAACAAAACCCTGGTCAGGCTCCAGTATGTTCAAAACTGTGCTGCCAGGGTACTCACACATACAAAGCCGTGGCAGCACATCACTCTCACCCTCATCCACCTCCACTGGCTGCCGGTCAGTCCCGCATATCCTACAAAGTCCTCCTCCTCACCTACAAGTCCCTCCATGCCCATGCCCCCCAGTACTTATCGGACCTCCTCCGCCCACATGCCCCACCCCGGAACCTGTGGTCTTCAGACTCTGGCCTGCTTACCACCCCCACACCAATCTGCGAACCTTCGGGGACAGAGCCTTCAGTGTGGCAGCCCCCACCCTCTGGAACGCTCTCCCTGCGGAGATCCGCAACATCCCCACGCTTGACGCCTTCAAAAGGGCACTCAAGTCCCATCTGTTTGCGAAGGCCTTTGGCCCCTAATCTATTTGTTGTTTTGTCTGTCTGACTGTTTGTTTGTTCCTACTCCTGTTCTTCTTTGTAAAGCGCCCTTGGGTCTCATGAAAGGCACTATATAAATCCAAGCTATTATTATTATTATTAATGAAGAAGAAGCCGGATTTCGCCATTTTGTCTCATATTTCTGAAGACTTGCTTTAAATATTTATGTCCAAAGTGCCAAAGATGAAAGACAGTTGCCTGATGTTGAAACAGAACATCCTTTATTTTACATTCCTCATACTGTGGATCTACGTTAAGCCTTAAGTGACCTGTTTTTATGCTGTTTGTAGCTTTTTATTTCACCAGTCTGTAATTTCCTGATCGGTTTACTGGAAAGAACTGTAAAGGGGAAATGTGTTTTCTCTTTTTTTGCTTTCCAATAAACTGCAGGAAATTGCAGAAGTCTATAAAGTGCTATGGTTCCTTTTTAAAACTACATAACCCATATATTCATGCATGATACGTTTACTACAATGCTGTTTCAACAGCTTTGGCCCCTTGAGTTTCTGCTGCTCCCTTGTGGCCAAAGCATATCTGCTTTTGCAGGTTTTTGTGGTTATATCAAGCTAATTGAAGTTGAACTTTGATAGTTTTTTTAAAGATACAAACGATAGCCTTCCCACTGTAAACTCTATGTTGCAACTATTGATCAGATTTTTTGAAAAAATGCTGTCTATGGATTTCTATATTTCTGAAATGTCTTGAATTCGTCAGCACGAATGTTTCTCAGTGTCTTCCTCGTGATCTGCATGATGCTGTTTTTTATATATATTTGACCCAAAAAACAAACTGGATGATACTTGTAGTTGACAGCATGACAGCAGCTCGTTGCCATTCAACATTACAGATAAAACGCATGAACCCTGCAATGGTCGCCTTTAAAGCCATGGACATTATCGATGCTAACAGTGTGCCTGTCTTCAAGCTGTGTGTCCTCCAGATACACCTCTCTACTGTTAATATTTATGGATAATGGGACGTTAAATGCGCTGTTTAATCTTTTTCTCTACCTCCCTGTGTTTCTACCTCCTGCTGCAGTGCATGTTTTACATCTTTGTGATAAAAATCACGAACATTTTCAGTTACCCCACAATTCAGCCAAGTAAAATTGTCTTAAAAAGGCAATCCATATGTTAAAAGTTTGCGATTATGTGCAATAACAACCATCTAAAAGAAAAGGTCTAAAAACAAGCAAACACCGAATTCACAAAGGTGGGTTTAATTTGTTTTTGATTATTTATTAGTGATCAGGAGCACCTGGTGTTATTGAGGTTGAGAAACGCTCTCCTGTGTCTTCTCTGTCTGGCTTTTAATCACTGTGTCTCTATGAAATTGCACTATTTGCACAGACTGTTGTTTTCTTGTTGCGACCCCCGGAATGATCTGCAGTATCAAGTCAAGTGTTGCTTTTTGTGAAATGATGGAATAAATAAACTATGTAATAAGTCATAATAAAATATTCTTCAGTTTTTCATTCAAAATGTGTCCTTGTGGTGGTAGTTATACAAAATTGTTATAAACATGATAATCCGCGTACAAACAACAATTCCGCTTTGTATATGATTTGTTGTCAGCACTTTTAGGGTGTTATTTATAGACCTCATATAGTGAAATGTTATGTAAACCAAATATATGAATCAGTAAATACTTTACAGGTTCATAATTTGCTCAAAAAACAAGTAGTCTGGTATAGAAAGAAGAACATAATGTTATTTAAATGAATTTGTCTATGATTAAACTACCAGAAAAGAATAAGCGGTATTAAGTCAAATAAGTGATTTATATATATTGTGTTTCATATATTTTAGCATTTGTTTATTTAAGATACAGTTTTAACATTTCGTTTATTTTAATCCAGACCATAAACAGAAAACGGAAAAATGACTGGTTCGAAAAACACAAAATAATAAAATGATTGCAGACACAAACATCAAATAAAAATCACTCAAAATTGCTATAATAATTGTATTTAATTTGTTAGGATATTTTCTGACGAATAGGCAGTGTCATTATTTTGAAGCTTGAACTACGAACCACTCTAAGCTAGAAAGAGGGGGCATTGGCTGAAGCAGAATCATAAAATTGAACCATTATATAAATAATCAGGAGTTTGCATCAGACCAAGATAAAAGTCACTATAGGATTATTTAAGAGCATGAAACATTTGTATCACTCCCCTCCTCTTCTCTGAATAGTTCTCCCTCTGCTCTTTGTCCCTGTGCTACTAAATAAAAATATGTCACTGATGCAAATAAAAAACAACTTTATCCTTAGAAAACCTCCTTTGTCCCTACTTCCTCCCCCTGCAGGAACCTCTCATTACACCACATGATGGAGCCAAAGAAACACAATCTGAGTCCTTTTTGCAATTATCCAGTCACTTTCATCTTTAAGGTCACTAGATGTGGGACTGTTTATGTTGCTAATGCTGTTGTTGTTGTTGTAAATGTCACTTTGTTTTCTCTTACATGACTATGCACTGCAAACATTTTTGTTTTGTAATTATTTATTTTACTTGTTCGAAATATATTATTTATCAATCAATCAATCAAGGTCAATCTAACCTCAAATCTTGCAATCGTACTTGCATTTGAAATATGTGAACCCACCCAAAAGCCCACTGATCTGGAGACATTAAAATGAACCACCTTACAATGCAGTGCAACACAATGCAAATCTGTGTGAAGCTTTTGATGTTGACAGAGTTAATTTTAATGTGCGTGTGCGTGTGTGCCTTTGCATAACTGAAGAGGGTGTGTCCTGAGAACTTATTGTCGGTAAGTACTGTAAAAGGGAACGTGACCTGGCTCGCACTCATAATATGAATTGCCGTTTACATCCTTAAACATAGTGTTAGATAGAGTTAGATAGAGAACATAGAGTTATTTGCTCATTGAGTGGAAGGACATGTTGTTATTCCACAGTGATTCAGGTGTACAGTATGTGGAGATTTAAGAGCATGCACAGACAGAAACATAACTTATTCTCGGAAATGTTGTGACTAACTTTGTAAGCTGACGTTACAAATGAATATTTATTCATCAATTACTCACCCAGTTTACCTGGAATTTGTGACAACACTTAGTTTTCCTCGCATGCCTCCACAGTTACTGAAGAATACAAAACAAAACAAATGTAAAAAAATGTTTTGCAAAATTAAAGATGATCTGTAACTACACAAATGCATTTCAAGTGAATACAAAAATAGATTTAAGTAAATGAAAGTAATTTGTGAATATCTTTATCATTTACACAGGCACTTATTATTAAATAAATAAATGTATTAATTTTATAAATGTTTTAAAATATTTTGGGGATTTACTTTTCCAGATTATACATACAAACTGATTGTCAATCAGTTCATACAAATAATATCGTACAATATCTCCATAAAAGAAAAAAAGAGACAAGTCTGAAATCAAGTGGTTGTTTACACTGTCCCTTGACAAACAAACTAAATGTAGTATCTTGTCTAGTAAAAAAAATGGCTATCCCATGTGTTCGTTTGCCCACAGACACGAATGGACCTGTGAAATCAGGACTGTGTTTTAAAGCACGCATCTGCAAATGTGTCCCTGCACGCTCTGAAACCTCAACATGCACTGATTGAAGGTGCAGTTATATCTACAGGTTAAAAGGGCAGGTGTAGTTCCTGGTGCTGAAGAGGAAAATCAACATAAGAGGTTGGGCTTGAAATGGAAAGAGGAACCTTTTCTGTGTGACTGTTAAGCTGTGGGTTTTTTGCTTTTTTGTTGTGCCTGACATTATAGTCATGGAGCAAAGCATCAGATTTTGAACACTGATTGCTGTTCTAAATGTATTTCCAGGATCCCTAAATGCTCTTTAAACTGGATAAAATATTCAGTCTTCTGTTTTTCAACAAAAATGGTACAGGTAAAACGTAAACCCAAATATAAAATATATATTCCAAAGGAAAAGTGGAACTGTATCACACTGATAGATCTGCAGACTTCATGCAAACACTAATGTTTTAATGTCTTCATCAGAGTCAAGGAGGACACAGATGCACACACTGTATATAGACCTGGAACAGGTGTGCAATTCTCATTGGATAATAACTGGGACAGGATTTTAAATCAATTGGATAATGGATCTAAAAGTGGGAGGTGCCTTCAATCTGCAACAGTGTCTTGTAGTTACCTATGGTAGTTTCAGATACAACATAGTAGGGACACAATACATGTTTTACATTTCGCATTTACTGTTGATACATTTTGCTGAATTGGAAAAATTAATAAAGTGATCACAAAATATATATATTTTTGTATTTATGTTGTTTACAAGTGTTTTACAAAAAGAGCAAATATTAATGTTGTTTACAAACCATCTGGTAACAATTAAATATACTGTTAAAAGCCTCTTTTTACATTTAATTTAACGGTCGTTAGTAATATACAAAATAATAGAAAATTAGATGCTCCTCACATGGCACTATCGGCAAGACTTAAATGTTCCTGTAATGTGATATAAATGAAGTGTGAAAATGTCCCATGGGGGGGGGGGGGTGGCAGGTTGGTGCTCCCTACTGACAGTTAATTCATGAGACTGTGACCTGCAGCTCTGATGGATAACCACTTAGTTTTGTCTTTAATAAGCTGCCATACAGCCAGGAGCAGACCGCTGTATAAATGTGCCTCCTTCAAGGTGTGTGTGTGTGTGTATGTGACATTGTGGGCGTCCCTGTCTGTAGCGCAGCCTCCTTCAGGCCCCTCCCGGGAGCGCGCTGCTGTTCCGCTTCACAGGCGCACGGACGGACTGACGGTGTGTGTGCTCGCTCTCTCCGCGCCTCTGCTGCTGCTGTGCTCCCTCTATCTCTGTGTGCGCGTGCGCCCCCCCCTCCCCAATTTCTCTCCTGTCCTGTCCACATTGGGTGTGGAGGTGGAGGTATGTAGCACCGGGGAAGAAAAATAGTGGCGTGTTATGGCACTGTTGGTTTTCCATACCGGATTCCCCGCACCGAGCAGCATGTAGCACCTGGAGCCGCGTTTCCCCCGAAGAAAGCATCGCCTGAACGAGGATTATTCTGGGGGTGGGTTGGGGGATTTATTCCTTATTTTAGAGGAGTGTTAGTGTGTGTTTCCCCCGCCGCTCTGCACCTCCCGGTCGATGGTCGTTGAGGAAGCTTCCATCTTGAGATCTACCGAGAGCACCATGGCGAGCGACTCCCCTGCGCGGAGTCTGGACGAGATAGACCTGTCTGCACTCCGGGTAAATGTCTTCCTGTGTGAGCGTGCATGTGGCGTGTATGTGTGAGCGTGCGTGTGAGGCTTTTGAGCACCTGTCCCCCCCATCCACCTCCAAGTCTTTCCTCCCTTCTCCATCATCACCCTCTCCCTTATCTACGCGTCGCCCTGCAGCGATTGAGGAAATAGCATAGATCTCGAGGCCTCACACCGACCGTCCTGTTGTTGTTTGTTGTTTTTTTCTTAACAATTGGGACGTGATGTGATGAGGCCCTGGGCTGCTGCTGCTGTGCGTGTGTGCGTGCGTGCACAAACACGCGTGCGCGTGCGTCAGACAGCATAATAGATGCCGCTGTGTCTGTGGGGCAGATGTTAAGCTGCCTGCTCAGTGACAGATCACACACACACACACACACACACACGACAGAGGCATACAGATGCACGGACATGCACGCGATTTCTCTCCCTCTCCGTCACACACACACACACACACACACACACACACACACACACACACACACACACACACACACACACACACACACACACACACCGTGCATAATAGCGATGATAACCGCAACAGCAGCGAGTTCCGCCATTTCGTGATGTTGTGGCGACAGCAGCATCAGTGGCTGTCTATGGCTCTGTGCAGTGTGTAGGAATGTGTGTGTGAGAATTTATTATTTTGATTTTTAGCTCAAGATTAACCAAATACTGTGTGTGTGTGTGTGTGTGTGTGTGTGTGTGTGTGTGTGTGTGTGTGTGTGTGTGTGTGTGTGTGTGTGTGTGTGTGTGTGTGTGTGTGTGTGTGTGTGTGTGTGTGTGTGTGTGTGTGTGTGTGTGTGTGTGTGTGTGTGTGTGTGTGTGTGTGTGTGTGTGTGTGTGTGTGTGTGTGTGTGTGTGTGTGTGTGTGAGAGAGAGAGATTCTGTGAGATTCCTCTTTCTTTTCTCTGCTTATGCAACAAAGCTGTACCTGCAGAGCAACACTCAAGTCTGGACATGATCGACCGGGTGGGACTGCTTGTCTGTGTGTGTGTGTGTGTGTGTGTGTGTGTGTTTTACTGACACACACACACACATTGGAACTGATAAAGGCACCTAGACAGACAGACAGTTCTACATTCTCATATAAAAAGAGGAATCCTGCTCACTTCCCTCTGTGGCATGATGACTAGAAATTAGGTCACGGAGGACGGATCAGAGAGAGCTGGGGGGAAACATTTAAGTGTGACGCAAAGCCTGTCACAATCACACACATGCTTCCTGTTTCACGTCCCAGAATGATCTCCTCTAAAGTTCACCTTCCTTAGTTATGTACCTCCTTCAAAGAAAGTCTTCCTCATGCACAATAGGTCTGAAGTTTTATTTCTATGCTTTACATTCTTTGCAGAGGTAATGTCTTTCTTACACTATGTCCTTTTCCATTATTTAGACAAAAGGAATTAATTCAGGATGGAAAAGTACTGCTTTTTATTATTCTCCTTATAATTTACACCCTGGGACTTGTTTTGTAGTGTTGGCCAGGTCAGGAGGATGAGCGGTCAGGTTGTAAACACACCAAATGTTTAGAACCACTGATGTTGAAATGCACATAAATAAAACAATTTGTATCTGCCCTTACAGCCAAACTGTCTGTTAGGCTTCTCCACTGAATACAACAACTGCTGCAGAAGACTAAAGATAAACCACACGAAAGTTCTATCATTATTTTAACATTTATCCTCATTACCTCAAAAACAACACTGTACATCGTGCAGACAATCCTTGTTTGGCTGCCTCTGAAATTATTTAGCAAGGTCTCGCAGGACGTACTATCTGCTGTGGAAGACAAAATAGAGAAAAGTATCTGCTACCAAATCCAAAGTGTTAGATGTTGTGGCAAGTGCAAAAGTGAGTCGAATCAAACCATGAAGTGGAAATGAGGCCAAAGAGGGTCGAGTTAGAATTTAGTTTTAATTTAAAGAAATAAGTCATTAAAAATGTTTTGTTTTAACAACTTACGAGTTCACAAACTATTGCCATTTTCTTTCTTTATCTTAACCTTTAGTGTCTTGGTTGCCTCACCCTCACTTCACTTTACAGACATAACATATCCTTCCTTAACCTTAACAGCAAGTATTTAAAAAACATTGGATGCTTTGGATTTTGCTGGATCTGTATTGTCTGGGGAAGTGAACTATTAAATGTATTCTAATGACAATCATTCTGATCATGTAAAACTTGTGAAACGTATTTCATGACTGCACTCATTATATTCATGATACTGGGTGAAATGTAAACTTGTGCACCTGTGTGCTAAATGTCAATGTGAAATTCACTAGCATGTTAAGCTGCTGGCAACTTGCAGGTGTTTAAATAAGACTCAGATCCTGATATCTTTACTTTCTTCTTCTGTGGTGTTTTTATTATTTGTGTGGTCCGACAGTTAGTAAGGGCTCTAACAGGCATGTAAAGGTGTTTGTGTGCGTGCACAACACTTGTTTGTGTGTGCATGAGGTGCGGTCTTCCAGGATTAGATGTGCTTCTGTTTGACCTTGACTGAAGAGGAACGCTGCTTTTTAAGCTAATCCCCCTCAGGAGGCTCCACTGTAATAGACAAAAAAAACACACACACACACACACATACACACACACACACACACACACACGCACACACTAATACCATACATACAGGAACGTTTAAAGATTAAGATCTGTTTTATTGAATTTAAATCAGCATTATGATTATTTACTCTGTGTTTGTATTTGCATGTGTGTGTTTGAATTCACCTTCTGGCTTTCGTCTGGATTTTCCTTGGCCATTGTCTGTGGTCGTAGTCTGCATTTTACTGTTTGCAGATGTTAAAGATAGCTTTGGAACCAGTGTGTGAATACTGCACATCAATACACACTGACCTCCATCCTATTTAAACGTTTTCATCGTTCTAACACTTGAGCATGACTAAAGGAGAAAATTGCCACCACTCTGTTAAATATAATTCTAGAAGGCCACTTTGAGAGTTCAGACCTCAGCCAAGGCCATGAATCTGGAAGTGGAAAAAAAAATCTGAAAAAAAAGTGTATCCGCCTCAAAGTTTCATTGGTTCGTTATCGGCTCACACTACAATCTCCCACCAAGTTTCATAAATATAAGGCCAGTCATTTTTTCCGTGAACCTGGTAATTATTCAACTGAAATCTGATCTCAAAATCGTACCTATAGCTAAACCAACAAAAAGTTGGTTTTAACAGTTTAAATTAAAGGAAGTTGGGCATAACTGATAAAATAATAATACTTGTTACTTGACTCCCCTGTAAAAACAGTGTTAACTAGTAAGACTTTGTGATAATAATAATATAAGCTGTAGCTTCCTATTAACAGCATAGCCTCAGAGCTCTGTTCTTGGTCCCCTCCTCTTCTCTTTATACACAAACTCGCTCGGATCAGTCATTAGCCCGCATGGTTTTTCATACCACTGCTACGCTGACGATACCCAATTTAATTCTGTCCTTTCCCCGCTCAGAGACCCAGGTCGTCGCACGCATCTCTGCTTGTCTAGCAGCTGACATCTCTCAGTGGATGTCTGCTCACCACCTCAAGCTCAACCTTGACAAGACTGAACTGCTTGTCCCACTCTTGACCTAACAATCAACATCGGCACCTCTGTTGTTTCCCCGACTCAGACTGCAAGGAATCTGGGTGTGACCCTAGATAACAACCTGTCCTTCACTGCAAACATCGCTGCTACAACCCGCTGCTGCAGATACACTCTTTACAACATCAGGAGGATACGTCCCCTCCTGACACAGAAAGCGACACAACTTCTGGTCCAGGCTCTCGTCACCTCACGCCTAGACTACTGCAACTCCCTCCTTGCTGGTCTACCTGCATGTGCCATCCGACCTCTGCAGCTCATCCAGAATGCAGCGGCTCGTCTGGTCTTCAACCTTCCAAAATGTTCCCACGCCGCTCCTCCGCTCCCTTCACTGGCTTCCAGTAACTGCTAGAATCCACTTCAAGACAATGGCCCTTACTACATCCAGGAAATGGTTAAACCATACACCCCAGCACGTGCACTCCGCTCTGCATCAACCAAACGGCTCGCTGCACCCTCACTGCGAGGGGGACCCAAGTTCCCATCAGCAAAAACACGTGGGTTTGCTATCCTGGCTCCAAAATGGTGGAATGAGTTCCCCATTGAAATCAGGACAGCAGAAAGCTTACACATCTTCCGGTGCAGACTGAAAACTCATCTCTTTCGACTCCACTTCGAGCGATATAATTACTAACAAAGCACTTATATACTAATAAAGGACTCGCTTATCTAAAGCCAGTTGAGTAGCACTTGAAATGTTTTTGGCTCTATGAAACCTGATGTACTTATATGATTCTGTTTTCTTCAAGTTTGTATCTTCTTGGTCGAATGCACTTATTGTAAGTCGCTTTGGATAAAAGCGTCAGCTAAATGCAATGTAATGTAATAATTGCAGGCACTTTGTGCAATTGTATTTATTTTATACAAGGTATATGTTTGCGTTACCCACGCAAGAGAGGTTGCCTAAGCCATTCTTTTTTTGTGTGTGTGGTTGTCCAAAAGATGAATAATAAGCTGCACAAATGTACATTTTGTCTGGATGATGGATTTCTTCCCTGTGGCAGTCTGATTTTGAGTTTTGTTTGATTTTGTTGTAGGACAAATCGGCATTCAAAAAATATTTCTCAGTTAATATATTTTCTCTGAAGGACTCGGAGATTACTTATTGAGGAAATAATGACAGTGTGATGATACAGGGGGAGACTTTTCACAGGGTAATACCACAGGTATGCAGTGAGTGTGTGAGAAGGTCAAATTCCTCACACACAAATTCCTAAATCCATCCTGTGTTCAGTTTCTCCTGACTAACTTAGTCTTGTTTTTTTTTCAGGATCCAGCTGGTATCTTTGAGCTGGTGGAGCTGGTTGGAAATGGCACCTATGGGCAGGTCTACAAGGTAAGACTTTAAAATATAAACTGCAACCTATGTGTAAAGCTTCTTTCTATGGAAAATGTACAACACAAGCTACAATTTACACACAAAATATGTAATGTTCTGCTACAATGAATAAAGCAGTTTTAGGTGAAAAAAACATTGTTTCTCCCAGCCGCTCGGCTACCGCTAACGTTAGCGCTACGTGTAGCAGCTAAAGGCTAACATTAGCATAGCCTTTTTCTTTATTCTGCAGATAAAACCTCTGAGCTTTTGATAAAAATCCTCCTTTTGTATTCTCCACCTGTGAATGCTTTCTAACATCTAGCAATGCACTCTCAATGTCTGCAGCCTGTTTTTTTTGTTTTTTTAGCAATGCAGTGTTTAAAATGTGCTATGCTTTTTGCCATTGCCCTCTTGACAGACTGAGCTTTCTAGTTCTCATTCATAACACTCCGTTCGATGTCTCACTATGGGATGCGCCTCATCGCGGAGCAAACAGAAGCATCAATCTCATTACGCCAATCCTGATTGGCTAGTGATCTTGACGTCAGCGTCAGGGAATTCACCCCCTATAAGTAGATGGAACCACGACGCATGCGTCATTCAAACACCTCTTCTCCCTTCAGAGCACATCTCTATAGTAGCCGGACAAGCTTAACGGTCCACAGACTGAACCCAAATATAACCATTTCGGTCGACGGGCGCTCGCCGGCTACTCCTTCTGCTTCGCAAGAAGACGGTAATACTAACGCCAGTTAGTATTAAAATCGACCTCGCCGTTTCTTTCCCCGGAAAGTAAGGTAAGGTTTTGATTTTTCTCAAGCTAGCTACGCACCTGTTTCTAGCTAGCTTCCCCTTACTACCGACACCACGGTAGCGAGGACGCTTTTCTTTTTCTCTCTCACGGAGGAGAAAAGGATTAGAAGTATATTGACACACCAGTCAATATTCTTTGAGAACAAAGGACCCACACCGTCCCTTTTTCTCCGGATTAAGGACGGGTTGGTAACACTTTTTTTCTCAACGACATACCTGTTACGAGCGGGTCCTCTCCACGCCACGAGGCGAACAAGATGGACGGCTCTCCCCCTCACACCAGAGGAGTCAGGGACTCGGAGGCTCGGTCATGCGGCTGCGGGTTGAAGATAGCAGGCACAGACTCACACCAGGTCTGCTCGTCCTGCCTCGGGCTGGAACACGCCCAGGAGGCTATCGACAACCCCGGCTCGTGCGGGCATTGTGCCCGTTTCACCCGAAAGAGCCTCCACCGACAGCTAGCACACCAAGCTAGCTTGTTGGAACAGGACTCCCTCATGTCCACTGATTTGCCGTTTGGCAATCAAGACACGGGGGCGTCCGCCGCAGAGACTGAGCCCCTCACTGTGTCGGTCTGGGGCTCACTAACAGCGGCAGCTGCGGAACCGGGATCCCACGCCGTGTCAGGCCGGGACCCGGTGGCGGCAAGAGACGCAGGAACGGAGCCCCACGCCTCACCAGGCGGGAGCTCCCGGCGAGACCTCACCATCAATCAATCAATCAATCAATAGGATACGGCTGTAATAGGCCTAAGGCCTTTTAGTCGCTCATAAATAAATGAGTAGATCACTGATTCTTTATTTACTATGGATGCTGGCAACAGTCACATAGTCCAAAGTGAAGGTGATGTTTGACCAGTAGTGGTCGAGGCGGGATTTGAGACAGTTAACCGTCTTGGATGTGACAACGCTTTCTGGCAGATCATTCCACAAGTCAACCACACGCAGGCTGAAAAAGTTGCGGCGGATAGCCAGTCTTGAGTACTGTTTCTTCAACTTGAGGCAGTGTCCACGAGTCCTGGTGTTATAATCCCGTTGTAGTGGGCATGATGTTTTGTAGATGTTGTGGAGATATTTGAAAACTTCGATCATATCTCCCCTCGCCCTTCTATAATACATACTCGGGATTTTAAGACGTTGCAGTCGTTCTTGATATGGTAGGTCCTTTAGTTCTGGAACCAGCTTCGTTGCCCTTCTCTGTATTTTCTCGATGAGCTCAGCATCCTTTTTGTACATGGGGGACCAAGCGACATTCCCATACTCGAGGAGTGGCCGTACAAGAGAGATGTATAAACTACGTACTACGTCAGAGTCCAAATAAGTGTATGATCTGCGGATCATTGCTAGGATACCATTGGCTTTGTTACTTGCCCGACGGATATGGTCACTAAATGTCAGGGTATTATCAACATTCACACCAAGGTCCTTTTCATTCTGAGTCTCGGATAGGTTTATAGTGTTTGAATTATCACCCATATTATACTCATATTTTTTATTCAGAAAACCTAAGTGCATTACTTTGCACTTTGCTGCATTGAATTTGAGCTGCCAACACTCGGACCATCTTTACCATGGTCTCGCCCGCGGAGGATGTCCTGGAATTAGACTACATGGAGGACGAAGAGAAACCCCTCTGAGTTCCTCCTGTCTGATTCGGATGAGCAAGAAGAAGATATCTTCATGTCATCGGCTCAAACGGCAAAGCCGGGAGCGATGGCTGCTCTCCCGGGCGATAGCACACCAGCTTCGCCCTGTCTGAGCATGGACCTGCAGGCCGCCTGTCAGCGCACTGCGTCCAGGCTAGAAATCCCGTGGCCCGAAATGGCCAAGGAGACCGCCAGGTCCCGTTACGAGGGGAAACATTCTCCCCAAGCAACGAGGACAAGGAGGCAACTCCTCCCGGTCTTCCCGGAGATGTTGGATGAGGTGTCGGTCTCGTGGAGGGACCGACCCTTTAGCAACAAGGCCCCAATCCAGGGTGCCTCCTCCCTAGACTGCGACGGTATGGAGAGGCTCGGCCTGCTCCGCATACCGCCGATGGAACTGCTGGTGGCAGCCCACCTCCTACCGAGGATGGGCCCGTCACCAAGCAGGAACCCCACGCTGCCAGCGAAGGTGTACCGTTTCCAGTCGACCATGACTGAACGGTCCTACAGAGCCGCAGCGTTGTCCGCCAGGGCTCTGAACGTTTCCTCACTGCTAACCGCATACCAAGCGGAGCTCTGTGAGGATATGTCGAGTAATCCTGGACCGGCCGTTCTGGACGAGTTGGCCGCGGTCACAGACATAAATCTCTGTGTCCAACGCTGCGCCGTCCAGGCCACGGGCAAAACAATGGGGATCATGGTGGTGCAGGAAAGAGCTAGATGGCTCAACCTCACCAACCTCCCAGACCGGGAAAAGGAGGATGTGCTTGACATGCCCATCGTTCCCGAGGGGATTTTCGGCTCCACTCTTGCCTCCATGCAGAGGAGATGCGAGTCGAAAAAGAAGGAGGACGAGGCCCTCAACCTCTGCCTCCCTCGAAGGGCCCAGCCGCTGCCTTCGCAGCGGCAGCCCTTCGTCCAAGCTGCCCCGAACCCTGCTCGGTTCAAAATACCGAAAACGCAGAGGTCGCAGTCCGCCCCGAGTCCCCAGCCCAGGCAGGGGACGAGGGCGAGCTGGCCTAGAAAATCTCCGGTTCCGGCTGCAGCCCAGGCGCAACCAACCCAGAATTTCGGCCAGCAGTCGAGGAAGAAGAAGCGAGCGGCGTGACAGCCCCTCCTTCTCCCCTCTGTGACAGAGCTGGAAGTCTACGGTTCCCCAGCTCTAAATGTGTTCCCGCCGCCTCGAGAGATGCCTCAACAACACCATCCTCAAGTCCGCATAAACACATGTCACACACTTATTGATTTTTCTGTCATAAAACATTTTCCGCTGACGCATCCAGGCTTCGAGCCAAGGGCGCAGCTCGAAAAAATGAAAAGAAAAACAATAAACAGTCCGTCAACTGTTCCCCTTCTGAGAGCAGCTACGGCCTCTCTCAAAGGGCGGACAATTGACGGGTCTGTGAAGGCACCACCGTCACGCGCATGCGCAGTGCCGGCTGCGGCTGTAAAGGCACCACCGTCATGCGCAGTGCCGGCTGGGGTCGTGAAGGCACCACCGTCACGCACATGCGCAGTGCCAGCTGGAGCTGTAAAGGCACCACCGTCATGCGCAGTGCCGGCTGGGGTCGTGAAGGCACCACCGTCACGCGCATGCGCAGTGCCGGCCGGGGTCGTGAAGGCACCACCGTCACGCGCATGCGCAGTGCCAGCTGGAGCTGTGAAGGCACCACCGTCACGCGCATGCGCAGTGCCGGCTGGGGTTGTCGAAATGGGGCACCACAGTGCTCAGACACTGGAGGGCCCTATAACACAACAAATAGAGACTCAGAGGGGAAGAGACGTGACATCTCAGCTGGCTCTAAGGAGCATACAGCGGGAGATGCTCACGACATCTGCTTGGGTTTCTCAAGACAGTTACACAGAGCTACAGACTCCAAGTCACCGTCACCCCCCCTCGCTTCTCGGGCATTCTGCATTCGCAGGCCCGAGGAGAGTCAGCCCATATTCTGGAGAGAGAGATTCTCTCACTCCTAGAAAAGAGGGCTATATCTATTGTACCCGCCGAGCAGAGTCAGGGTGGCTTCTATTCCAAGTACTTCCTCGTTCCCAAACGGGGAGGGAACGGAATTCGGCCAATACTTGATTTGAGGGCTCTGAACAAATATCTAAAAAGATATAAGTTCAGAATGCTCACTCACACATCTCTGCTGCGGCTCGTGCGACAAGACGACTGGTTTACATCAGTCGACCTGAAAGATGCGTATTTTCACATCCCAGTATATTACCCACACAAGAAATATCTGAGATTCGCATTTCAGGGGATCTGTTATTAATACAGAGTACTCCCCTTCGGTCTGTCTCTCAGTCCAAGGGTGTTTCTACGATGTACGGAAGCCGCGATAGCCCCGTTAAGACAACAGGGTATTCGCCTGGCGACCTACCTGGACGACTGGCTGCTTCTCGCACAGTCGGAGCAGGAGGCTGTTACGCAGACAAATGTCCTCGTAAAGCACCTGCTCAACCTGGGTTTCATAATAAACACAGAGAAGAGCATGTTGTGCCCCGCGCAGACTATACTCTTCCTGGGTTTACGCCTGAACTCGGTGCCCTTTTCAGC